CAGTAATAAACGGACCGGCAAAGCAGTTGGTCCTTTAAATTGGCGCCATAAAAAGGCGCGGCAGAGACGCGCGCATACTTTTCATATTAATTTATTTCTTTGAGACATTCTGCATTATATATTACAATCCGCTTTATTATGTCATTCCGCAAGCCATGCCACGTACCATTCCGCAAACTCGTTTCGCCTTTTACCCTCACCGCTCTAACACGGCTTGAAAATGTTTTCTTTCCAAAGAAGCTTTCCATAACAAAATAAAAAACAGTACAACGACAAAAATCACAGCAAAAAGTAACTTTACCTTTACACTGTTGGCCTTAACTGGTTCAGTCATTACGGAGTTAAAGGACATCGATCGACGAGACATTATAGACACTTCTTTTTACTGCACCGTTTTAACGGGATTTTGTTTCCAAACGTGCAGCGGAAAATGAAGTTTAAGGATAAGACAGGTTAGGTTTCCTTACGCTAAGTAAGTGTTGTCCATTTTTTAAAGCTTCTTGTAAGACGCGTTGTAGTTTTGGTCCGCATTTTATTCCAGTGGTTTTATTGCCTAGCGCGTAATCTTTGAACTCCCAATTACTCTGGAGAGAAATTCTCGCTGCGAATTCAGTAGGTTGCTAACGTACAGGCTTTTTTGGTAAGTCGTCATTACCCGTGCCTCTGATCAACGAAATAATATTCATTTTTAAGGAACTTTCCTTACCTCAGCTCTCCTTCAGCACTTCTCTTGCAATGAACTTTTTATGAAAGTGACGCGCTATTGAAGAAAAGCTCTATTATCATGCATGCATGACCGCGCATGAACAATTCATCAAATGCCAGCCCTTAGGATTAACAGCAAACACAAAATGGTGAATGGTGGCTGAGCTTTGGCTGATCATTCATTTAATCTTCTTTCGTTGGCTGCGATGGACACTAACATTAGCCTTCAGTGTGAATTGGTTACTCTAGCCAGTTTTAGAGTAAATATAAGGTTTATCGAGAAAAACCCATATCGTGCGTACTTACTAAAAACATAGTTAATTAAAGTGGAATGGTTGGGAAATTCTTTGTTATATGTTTTTGTTAGCTTTTTTGGACCTGACCTTGTACAATGTTCAATAGCATTCCTATCATTTTGAGCTTAATACTGACCAATAGAAACACTGCATTAATTTACTCAGTCACAATTTGTGACCAAAAAACAAAGGATTGTGCACGGTGAGGGAACTTCCAACATAACCTACAGCACCATTGTTTTCAACTTTGATGTTTGCTGGCTTTCCTAGCCGGTCTCCTCTACCAACTATGCTAAAAATGATAAAACTGACGCAAGAGCCCTGATAAGCTAAAACATGGTATGGCCGGAGCGAGTAACACCCATGTTACAGTTTCACTGACCAGGTTACTTTTAGAACGATTTTGATGCCAATGAAGCAGTCAACAAAACCTACAAGCCTAAAAATGGCATTTGTGACCTTTAAATGATGTTTAGTTTTCCTTTTTGATATCTTATATTTCAAATCGTTCATTTCGAAGTTTCATAGGAGTAGTGTGGGGCTTGCTCACTCTGGCTTATGAACTCCTGTTCTGAGGACACAATTCGCCGAGCTACTTATTATTACCAGTCACGAAAATCAGATTATTGATCGATTCTCTCTCGAAGTTTCTTGACAGAGTAGGTGGAGCATGAAAATACGCCAAGGCCTCTCCTTATTGATTCTCTTCCCCCACCCCCGTCCTCAACCCGGAAAGCGTTTAATCTTTGGGAGAGGGGTCAAATTAAATGATAAATAGTACTAATATATCCTTACTAAAAAGCATTTTTTTTCTTGCAAGCCTTTATAGAAAATAACATTGTTAACAAAAGAGCGGAGTTTTGAAAGAGAATAAAAGCTCACATTCTTTCAGTAATCCACTGAGCAAATGTAGTTTGCATTAATTTAGTATCTTCTATGTTTTTGTCATGCATGCAGCAATTTACTGGCCAGAACTCATGATCACTCTAAGACGTGCGCTTAAAAGTCTTCTCTTTAAAAGAGCCTTTCCCTTTCAACAAAAAAACTAGGATGACAAACGAATGATGGTAAAAATTTCTGAAAGGTCTATACTTGCAAGCCTTCATAAAATTAAAATTGCATTGTCAGTTAACAATTAAGGCGCAGAAATTTGAAAAAGAGCAAAAGCGCCCATTGTTACGGTAATGGCTAAATGTAGTTTGCATTAATTTAGTACCTTCTATGTTCTTATTTATAGCTTCACAGGTCAGAACTCAACTCTAACACGGTTTAAAAGTCTCTTCTCTAACAAGATCTCCAAAAAAAAAAACAAAAACAAACACTACACCGCCAAACAAATAGCAGTAAGTAACTTTAGCTTTGCACTGTTGGCCCTAGTTGGCTCATTACGAAGTTAAGGACATCGACTTGACATAGACACTCCCATTAACTGCAAAGTTTTTATGGGATTTTGTTCCCAGTATTGGTGTTTCTTTGGAAAAGTGCAGGGGAAAATGAAGTTTAAGGATAAGACAGGTTGAGTTTTCCTTACGCTTAGCTAGTGTTGTCCATTTTTTTAAGCTTCTAGGACGCGTTGTATCTTTTTTACCCGCATTTTATTTCATTTGGTTTGACTGCCTGGCGTGTTATCTTTGAACTTAGATGCTGGCAGGCTGTAGAGGAATTTTCTCTGGGAACTCACTCGGCTGATTACTTATAGACTTTTTTGGTAAGTCATCATTACCCGTGCTTCTATGATAAAAAAGGTACATTTTTAAAGAACTCTCCTTACCTCAGCTCTCCTTCAGCACTTCTCTTGCGAGGAACTTCTCATGAATGTGACCCGCTATTGTAAAATTAGCTGGTAGCCTAGAAGAAAAGCAGTCTTATCATGCATGCCGTGACCGCGCATGAATAATTCATCAAATGCCAGCCCTTATGATTAACACCAAACACAAAATGGTGAATGGTGGCTGAGCTTGGCCTGATCATTCATTTAATCTTCTTTCGTTGGCTGCGATGGACACTAACATTAGCCTTCAGTGTGAATTGGTTACTCTAGCCAGTTTTAGAGTAAATATAAGGTTTATCGAGAAAAACCCCTATTGTACTAATACTTACTAAAAACATAGTTAATTAAAGTGGGATGGTTGGGAAATCCTTTGTTACATGTTTTTGTTAGCTTCTTTGGACCTGACCTTGCACAATGTTTAATAGCATTCCTATCATTTTGAACTTAATACTGACCAATAGAAACATTGCATTAATTTGCTCAGTCACAATTTGTGACCAAAAAACAAAGGATTGTGCACGGTGAGGGAGCTTCCAACATAACCTACAGCACCATTGTTTTCAACTTTGATGTTTGCCGGCTTTTCTAATCAGTCTCCTCTATTAACTATGCTAAAAATAATAAAACTGAAGCAGGAGCCCTGATAAGCCGGGGTATAGTTTGGCCGGAGCGAGTAAGGGTGGGTAGAAAACGAAGACCTAAGACCCAAAAACAAAGATCCCCCTCAAAATCAGTTATAGATATCTAGAAACGGGTATCTCGACCTTAGATGTGTAAGAAACAACAAGATCTTCAATTATACAAAATTTCGACCAATGGCTTTTATAAACAGACCAATCATGGTGCCTACTCAAATCCTGGTACACAGGTGGTTTGAAATAAGGCAATTGCGTGTTAATCCGTAAGGGCTCGCTGATTGGTTGAATTGTTATTGCCCAAGTATGCATGTTAAATAAGAATTTTTTTCCTCTCATAAGAATAACAGCTTGTAAAATTAGCCAGTCACATTAATTGTCGCAAGGGTACGGATCAAGAGCTGAGGTGAGTCAGATCTAAAACGGAAAATTTTCTGTTATTTGTAGCCAGAAGCGCAGTTAATAATTATTACTTACAAAATGAATATCCTAAGCAGTCGACTGTGTTCGCAGAGCAAACTTTCTTCTGGGTGAGGCTCAAAGTTCTCGAGGGCGGGAATCAAATGCGCGCCTAAAAGAGACAAAGTGTCCTAGACAAATGTAAAGAATATTTGAACACGCAACAGTTACGAGCGTGAAGGGGACCTAAAATGCTTTAAAAGAGTAGCCGTTCACGTGATATTGTTTTATTATTCACCTTCCTCTCTCGCATTTCCAAAGAAAGAAACTTTTAAAGACGATAAAACGAGAGATCAAAACTAATACGCAAAGCAATGTCCAGTCAACTTGCTTGTTTAAATTAGTTCATAATGAGTCAAATTATAAAAACAAATTGAATTACATGTGACTATTGTTTTGTCATTCTAGTAGTCTTTTTCAAGAGGGAAGAGAGTTTTAAGCGATCTTAGAGAGTTCTGGACTGAATTCTTGCAGAAGAACACACAGCATAAGATATAAAATATGCAAACTGCATAATTTGCCAAGGATTAGTACTAAAACAATGCCTTTGACACTCCACTTGTTTAATTTGTGCATGTTAATAGTAACTTTCTATGAGGGCTAGTTGGAGAAAAAAGTTTAGTTTAAAAGGGATAAAGTAAACTAGAAGCACGGCAACTAATTGCTCAGAAAATAGGAGACGTAAGCAGACCGATGCATTAACCGTGAATTGTCTCCGTTCCGGGATAAAAGCCGATCTCAAGTTTACTTGCATTTAATATGCAGTATATTTGTTCTTGGCATCCAGGAAGACTAATTGTGTGAAACATTTGAAATATTTAAAACAGTAGAACAGGAGCCGATTTAAGACATTCGGAATCCCCAATTAATGCCTCAAACATCGGTTCATTTGCTCGACAGCAGCATAGTTTCAGCTGTAGTTTGAACCCGAAATTCCGTCGTTCTCCATAAGAAATGTACTTGCATTGGTTTAAATTTGGCGCCAGCAAAAGGCACGCGTACTTGTCTCCTGGATTTATTCCGTTTTGTCTACTAGTATATTCCGCATAATTATGCCATTTCGCAAGTCATGCACGCCGTACGCCATTCCGCAAACTAATTTTAAGCTTTTGAAACTCCGATCGTTGGTCAACATGTGTGGCAGCTAAGACGGCTTAAGTCCAAGTAGCCTAGTTGTTGTTGTTGTTGTTTTTTCTTCAAGTTTAAGAAGTGGAAAGAAGATTGTTGCCTAATTTCGTTCCCATGTCTCTCAATTGTCAGGAATTATATCGTACAACTGTAACCTGCGTCGCAGACTTAATCCAACCCGAATTTAAATGAATATATGATCGTCACACTGATTTACAACTAGCAATTTAAGGAACTGCAAATTAACCCGAAAAATTTCGTAACGTCAACGGAATTCGAACCTATGGAGGGCCTCTGCGACGCTCATAGCTGCTCATATATTTGTTCATTTAAATTTGTATTTCTGCAGTTCACATATTCTTTATTTTTGCGTTTCATTCCTTTCACGGGCTAAGATGAACTCAACAAATTGGCCTACTCCCAAAAGTATGGGTCTTCTTAGCTCTGTCGGTAGAACACTGCGGCGCCAACGCAGAGGCCATGAGTTCGAATTCCGTTGAAGTCCCGAAATTCTTTCAAGTTAATTTTCAGTTGCTCAAATTGCAATTATTACCACTGCGACGATCATATCTTTATATAAATTTGTATTTCCGCAGTTCACATCATCTTCATTCTGTGTAATCTAACCGGGTTAGTAACGTCTGCGAAGTAACAGCGATATTCTTTTTCTGGGCTCCCCTACCGACTCAACGGATTACCGGAAATCCGTTACGAATTTTCTGTCAACCTGATTGGCAAATCGACAACAGCTTTGTTAATAGGCCAAACATGGTGCGACTCAAATCCTCGTACTACAGGTGGGAGTCATGAACACAGCGCTTTTTCGCAGACGGATTTAACACGAAGTTTAGTTCCTTCTGTGGCGCACGCAGGCTATGTACGTATACACGTAAATCGTACCAGTAATAAAAACGTCTTTTCTCTCTAGGTGAAAAAATGTTGGCCAAGAAACTGCATTTAGAAGCTTCTGTGCTTGCCTGTATGATATTTGGCCTGATTAGCGTCCAAGGTAAAATTATAGTAACGATTTTCATTTGTTAAATCGTGAGAAGAAACGATAGCCTGCGAACAGTCGCCTCTCTTCACTCCTCCCCTATTGGGATGTTTCTCCTCCTAGCGAAACTTCCCAGGAGGGAGGGGGTGAGGAGAGACGGTTGTTTTCGCAGGCTAGAGAAAAGACTGATGTTTGTAAATTTAATGTTATTAGTGTGAAATACATAATTAGGTTGTTTGACAGTACAATTTTGATAATGTATAGGCTCTAGAGTAACATTCTATGGCTTAGTTATTCTTACCAGAGAAAATACTTGAACAAGAAATAGAGAGCAAATGCGTTATACAGAACAGCAGAGCTTAACTCAGATTCGTTTTGTACAGTTTACAGGGTTACAAGCAACTGACAGGTTCCATGTCAAAGCAAGCAGGCATATCGATTCTTGGCACCACTGCTAGGATTTTAGTAGGGATGAAGGAAAATATCAGTGCTTTAACAATACGTCCCACAACCCCTCCCCCCCCCCGCCTCCCGAGAGTAAACTCTATTGATCAGCCCCTTTTCCCTTGGCGTATGCTTGTCATGCCAAAAACGTTCAAGGGCTAATCCTGTGTAATATTAATGATTTTGTCTCGTCCTAAATTCTTGCTTTTCAGGCTTCTCTTGTCCTAGCTGCAGGGCGGCGGGGGATGATAGGGAACAGGTATTAATGGATTGTGAAGTACACGCTGTCGACAACGAGTGCGTTAAAGAAGGAGCCGCAGCAGTTTGTGAGGTCATGCTGCTCGATGTCCCAAGTAAACGAGTGAGAATTATTCGTCAGTGTACTACTAAGAAAATGCATGAGGAAAACAAACAAAACTGCAATCCCCAGGAAAATATAATGTGTCCGCAAAGGACAATTTGCACTAAATCGGGATGCAGAGCCCCTTTACCAGAAGGTATGCATGTTTGGAGTTATATGTTTTTATTTTGTCGTTATGTAATAATCCATTTCCATGGAGTTAGACTGTTAAAGGGACTGTGTCACGGCTAGCTCAGGGCTAGTTTTAATGTATTTTGCTCGTAATGAGTTCTTATTTGAGTCTTGATTCGCCATGGAACTTGAGAAATCACTTGTGAATCAAAAACTGACAGCTTCGTTTCAAACAAATATGTTTTTCAAGCAACAGTGCAAATCTACAAACACTGACGAAAGTGAACTTTTGAAAAACTGTTGGGCTAACAAGTTTTCAAAAACCGCCGCAGTTGGTGCACGGGCTATAAACGTGGGTTTAATTTGACTAAATGAAGGTTAAATTTTTGTTTAATAAAGTTGAATTACTTACATTGAAGTAGTCGTTTGTCGTTTCCGCTATATTTCTTGTACAACCCTCAAAACACAATTTGTCATGATAGCGCCCGCGCTTTAAGATTCGAATAGGACGCTCGGTTACCAAGACTAAATGAATGCATGTCGACCGTCTAAATCAAAACAAACCGAGTGTTTCCAAGCTTGTCTACAAGAAATATAGCGGCAGGATTCAGTGACCAGAAAGGACAAAAGACTACTCCAATGTAAGTGCAATCGACTCCCGATAACTCGAACCCTCGCTAACTCGAACCAAAATCGATTTCCCCTGGATTTCCGTCATACATTTTACCCTCGGTAACTCGAACCCTCTATAACTCGAACTCCCGCTAACTCGAACCAATTTTCGTTTCCCTTCAGGTCATTTTTTATATAATTGTACCCTCAATAACTCGAACCATGTTTTGAGCCCTTAAAAAGTCGGGAAAATAGCCGTCTACTGGCGTCCGAAACATTGAATTTTAGATTTCCTATATTGACGTGCAGTAGGAGTATAGTTTACTGATGGAGGCTAATGTTGATTTTCACAGGCTAACGTGAAGCAGCTTTTCTTCTCAAAACAGTAAAACGCATGCTCTATTTAGGCTATGTTTTGTTACGTTACGTTCTGATTTATAATCTAAAAGTATCTTTTAATTTTCACTTGATATTTCTACAATTAAATGTGATTAAAATGTTTACTGTGCAGTAAGAACTGTTTTTTACCTTACTCTCGGCTACTTTCTTCGAACTCCCGATAACTCGAACCTTTTTCCGATTTCCCCTGAAGGTTCGAGTTATCGGAAGTCGACTGTAATTCAACTTTAAACAAAAAATCTCTGATTTTGTCATTTCCAGCGATTAAGGGCGGGTAATTGGCAAAATTAAACAAAATGAACTGGACTGCCGTGACACAGCCCCTTTAAATTTGTCTACTGCACACGACTGTTAGCAACTCGCACCTGGATAAGGTTTTGCTAGTTTGTTTTTGATATGAGCCAGCATGGTAAAAATTGCCCCGCAATTTCCATCGATTTGGCACCTTTGTTTTAAATTCTGCTTTTCAGTGTTCAAGTGTCCGTTCTGTTCCTCGTCCGGAAAAGAAACGATTGCGGCCGTATTGAAGAATTGCGACAAGTCCGCTGTCTATGAGGCGTGCCAGGAAAAAGACCCAATATGTGAAGTTATCATAAGGGAACATGACAGCGGAAAGGTTGATGTACAGCGCTGGTGTTCTACAAAGAAACAACAAACGGCACGAAAAGAATTTTGTCGTAAGTTCGGAATCTGTCCGAAAACGGCGTATTGCACAGAGTCTGGATGTAAGGCTACTTTACCATGAATACAAAAGGTACTCGTGCATGCTCAGAGCAGAGCTTATTTATCCTTAGTATATTCGATAGATTACATTCTGCAATAGACCGCAACAGAGAGAATATCGATAAGGAGCTAAGAAGCAACTGGGATTGAAACTGACTACAACCATTAAACTACATTTCAATTTTAATTTTTAGGTTATAAATCACTGGCCCTTGTTCCCAGGGGGAGGGGGGGGGGGGCGGTACCTCCTTATACAAGCCATGTAGGTATGTGCCGCGCCGTTTTGGCCTGAAAACGGGTATAGATTTTGCCCATTTTGGTCTGGAATCGGGTATGGTTTTTGAAGGAACTACGGGAGCGTATGAACGTATTTATCGTTCCAGTTCCAAATGAGTAAGAAAGAAAGAGAAATATGCGAATTCGAAATGGATTTGAATAACGGATAAGTAATGATAACATAATTTCTGCCTAAAGGCCAGGTCTGAAAACGGGTATGGATTTTAAAGGTCTACTCTGAAAACGGGTGTGGAAAATTACATTTTTTGGTCTGAAATTGGGTCAGGATTTGAGGAACCGGGCGGAATACCCCCACCAAGAATTCCCAGGAATTCCCCCCACCCCCCAGGGTCCTTGTTATCAGAAAACTTACGGACCGGAAATTCATAGGAGCCCATAACCCGGAGCGAGCGACTCCCATACTAGGCTTATGTAACGGCGTTTTAACAGAGCAGTTTATTTTTAGGCACATTTTAGGGCACTTTTTCCCGCGAAAACAGAACCTCCAGCATGTCTTTGAGCGCATTCGAAGTATAAGATATCTAAAAGGATAACTAAGCATCATTAAATAAGGCCAGCAAAAAATATCAAACTAACCGTTATTAAAAGGCAAAAATATTTTGGTCTGTAGGTTTTGCTAACTGGTTAATTTGTGGAATTTTAAAGATATTCAAAATTCGCGCCAAAACCGTTCCAAAAATAAACTAGTCCGTGAAAACGCCGTGACAGTAGCGCAAGTAAGTTGCTCGCTCCGGGTTATGGGCTCCTGGAGATGCCAACTTCTGAGGACTGGCTTTTTGCAGTATCTCCTCCAAAACAACACACTCTCTTCCCTATATAAACCCACTCTACAATATTGGGTGTGACGTAAGACATTACACATAGTGTAACATGAAGTAGAGACCATAAATAGCCGCTTTGATAGATTGTGCTCGCAAAAGTAGCATAATCTGCTAGCAGTGCTTGTATCTTTCTAAAATTATACCAGTAATCATGCTAGTTTTTTTTTAAATCATGATCATGTTAACCAAAAATGCAGAAACTATGATTTACTTTTTACTTTAAATTTGGGAAAAAAACAACAACAACAAAAAAAGACAAACAAACAACAACAATACACCTCACTGAACCATGCATCAAATGGCAAACACATTCTAGCGGCGGATCCAGGGTAAGGGCCCGCCCCCCCTCCCCCTCCCCCGCCCCTTATCTGAAGTTCTGGATACGCCGCTGCATTCACCTTATTTACACCTAGAAGCATTAAAAGTACAAAATTCGTTGTCTGACAACTATCAACTCCCCCCCCCCTCCCCCCAAAAAAGTTACAAGTGGAAACAAGACTGGAGTTGACCCATCTTCCTTTACCATGTTATTTTTTAAGCTAACTAGTTTTCTTTTATCATCATTTTCACGCGAAAAGGAGAGAGTTTTGTATCAAAACAAGGTCAACCTCAACCTCACTTAAACTCAGAGGCTAGGATACCAAGCCCACAACTGTAAAATAGTCTTTTTTTGCAACCGGCACGCCGACGCCATCTTGGGTAACCGAGCTAGATATGCGAATGTGTTGAGTCCTGTGAAAAAAGTCTTGTGCCACTTCCTGTGGGACAAGCCAAAAATGCAAATTATGCGCGAGCAGTGGTTTTTTTCGCAAACTACAGGTGAAAATGATGCTCTTAGTTACGAATTATGCCAAAGAAGATGCTCGCACAATCTATCAAAGCCTCCCGCTCCCGCCCATCACCAATCCTAATTTTTCCATCTGTTGTTGTTTTTAAAAGGAATAAAGAAGAGATTTCCGGCGTGCATTTACTTTAGAACGGGATGTGAGAGAAGGAAGATCTGCAAGCTGTTTGTTTAATTGCACTACTCCTTAAATATACTTATGATCCATTTTCAAGATTGTTTTGAAACAATTAAAGCACGGCACGTCACACTTGTCCTGAATTATATAATAGCGGAGCTCCCTTGCGCGCGAAGCGCACACAGCGCAGTACCATGAGTATGAAGAGTGGTAACCTATAGATCTGAGAAATTTTGGTTATCACGTGACCTCTCGTCTGTCCACCCCCTACGTGTAAGCCGATGTAAAATGTCACAGTTTACTACTGGCACTTCCACCCGGACTTGTTAGAGAGAAAAAGCAACAACAAAGCCGATTCTTTTTTTCGACGAAATGTTTATGTCTACAAGGAAGTGGATAACAGAGAAAGAGCTAGCGCAAGAGATTAAAAAAGCAAACTAACAAACCGAAAAGACGAATTTTGTTAAGTTGAAAGAACAACGCGAAAATTTTATAGCGGCGGGGAGAAAATGAGAAATGATAGCGGCCAGCGAGGTGAAAAATCAGCTCTCTAGAGAAAGCATGTGGTTTCAGTTTTTTTTTTCGCTGTGCAACTAGTTTTTTCCCGTTGGAATTTTCTACTCCTTTAAAACAAATGCAATACGCGTATGCTACAAAGAAATGTTTACACAAGTGACAGTTTTGTGCGTGCATTTTGTCCCTGCTAATTTTTTAACAGCATGAATTCCAATTTTTAATCCGACGGATGACTCGAAAATATTTATACATTGCTACTAATGCAACTCAAACGACTCACAAAGGAACTAAAACTAAAACACGAGAAATGTAATAAAACTAGACAACAAGCCAACGGGGACTGGTTCTGTAAAGGAAGGGCTTAAGAAGGAAAAAAAGAAAAAAAAGAAAGAAAGAAAGAAAAGAAAAAGCCGATCAACAAAAAGGCGAGATCAGGTCAAGAAAGAAATTTCAAATTTTCTTGATTGGCTAGATTATGAGAGAATGACGTAAATGTTGTCTCCTGCGCTCGCTATGGCGTGTGTTTTCATTCTTTGTCTTAAGTTCTGTTCAAGTAAATTTTTTCCTTGAAGAGGTAGTTTTCCGTCTCAATATAACTTTTAAAACTATTTTTATCTCATTTTTGAAGACTTTTTAAAATTCTCTCTCGGTATCAAAATTAAGACTTCTGAAAAGGGTAAAAAAGATATTCTGTCACGTACTTTTTTAAGCTTTTAGCACGCCCCATAATAATTAAATTTTAGTCCTATTCAGGACTACGTTCACCCGGACGATCAAACTCGACCTGTTTTTTAAATGACTCCTGGGTTCAAACCTTTCACAGTTTTAAATTTAAACTATACTAGCTGTCGCTTTGAATTTGATGTTACGAAGAAAAACAACAACAAATTAGTTGGTTTATACTTAAGATACTACGTTTTGCAAAAGAAAACTTCACGGCTCTATCAAATTCGTTGTTTAACACATCTGAAATTGAGGATTTCTTTCGAGCATGCGCTCTTTCATCGCCTGTCACATTTTTGACGGGCGGTCACGTGTACAGATCGGATTTGACCCGATCTCGTCTTCGGCTTCGTCAGCAAGAGATATGGGTACGAGATTATTTGCACACCAATGTAACACGCACGCAACATTGTTTGCGCAACAATGTCGGGAATTGTTGCGTCCGTTTGCACGTAGCTACAGTGTTACGTCGTCCGCATCGTTCTAAAATCATCTTTGTCTTAAAGCGAGGTTAAGTGTGAAGCCATTCATCTGAAAATGATTTTTTTATTCTCATACAAATAAATCTCACGTTCACACGGCGCTGGACGAATTTTCGACCGGCTGAAAAGTTTGACCGGACACTGTTCACACGCGTTTAATATTTTCGCTCTATTCACACGGAACTGACTAACCAGTTTGGACTTTAACTTTTCTCAGAGGTTTCTAAATCTGCTTATCCGCAGAGCTCTTCTTAAGCAAATCCAAATTGGCATCACCCAGCTGAGTTAACACGCATTCACGCAATTGCGCCCTTTCCTTACAAAAATTTAGAGGGCTACGGTGTTCACATTGCACCGGTCAAATTTTCGACCGTGCCGTCTAAAAGTTTGACCTCGATTTTAGCGTTCGAATTTTTGAACGGCTGGGCGATTAAATTTTGGTGAGGTTAGCTTGGTTCCGTGTGAAACGTAGCTTTAGTCTAGCTCTGGAATAGCTCCCTGGAGTTTTTGTAACTCGGAAATGGGCTATTCTTCGTGTATAGGTCAGCATCAGAGCAAGGGTACACTTCGTGATGTCTAACTCAGGTTTTTTATATGCGGTTTTTAATGTACACTGATGTCTTCCGCTTAAGATAACCTGTCGTCTTCCTGTCAACACGATTGTTTCTTGCAAAGAAAATGTTCGATCTTAAAATATGAAAAACAATTGTCCAATAGTAAATAAAACGATAAAACTATCACTGTGATCAACCAATTTGAACAAGATTTCGTCCATTACAACACTTGTAGCGTGATTGACTCAAGCTGTGTCTCTGACTAGTTAGCAACTTGCACTGCTTTGTTTTCAATGACTGACATCCACCACCGCCATTTTTCTGCCGTCTACCGTTGGTTTAGTGTAACGCACGGTTTGTTGTAGAGTGCTCTGACCGGATCTTGGAAATGACAGTACATTTTTTCTTGGATATTTCTGCATTCTTGCAAACTTGATCGAACGTAATGCTAGGATAGAGAGCCTTCTAATCTTTTAAGCGATCCCACAGAGGCAATTGAACTGTGTTCATGGCGTTATCTGGTCATTCGGCTGAACCGAAGTGAACTTAGTTCTTTAACAATCGCGGCTTTTTCGGCCTCCAAGCTTCCCACGTGGTGACGGAGCTCTTCTAGCTGAGGGAGAAGGAGAAATGAATGAATGAATAAATGAATGAATGAATAAATGAATGACTGAATCAAAAAAAGGAACATAAATATTCGAGAGAAAAGGTGGTAAAAGAGGGGGCAGTTAGAAGGAAAGTCTGACCGCAAGTCCAGCGCTCGGCCAACGCCCGGCCAAGCTGCCTCTCATCAACAACATACTCTTGGGTCTCCGGGGATAAAAAAGATTACTCTCTTACCTCGTTGCGAAGTCCATTATCCTCCTTTCGAGGACTTGAGCCACTCGGTGCAGTGACAACCCTGTAGTGAAATCGAGAACATTGACAACTATTTAATTTATAGTAAATTCAGTGACATTCGTCAAGTTTAATAAAGAAACGCTGTTTCACGCCCGGATTCCATCTGCTTCGATTGTTAACACGATTTGTTGCCGTTTAAAGGTGATATTACACGAGACGATAAGCAACGAGGATTTTCAATGCAACACATCGTTGCAATGTTGGAACAATGTTGCAACCATTCGAAACAGTGTCGAAACAATACTGCAATGCTATGTTGCGCTAAAAAAAATCGTTGTTGCGAATCGTCCTTAATCCTTTAAGTACCAAGAGTGAGCAACATATATTTTCTCCTAACAATATCCATACATCACCAAGAGAAAAGGTCATGATAAACAAAATGATCAATAAAGGGAAAGTGTTGTGATCAATTACTAAATTCTCTCAACTAATTCTTTATGGAAATGTACGCAGATCTGTCTGGAGAACTTGTATCTGAATATTGAGGCTGAAAGGTTTAACACATTCACACTCAGGGTATTATGATGATGTAAAATTTGTCTTAGAATGGTGCAGTTTTTAACCACTTTTTATTTTGACTATTCCGTCTATCAAAGAAGCTTGGATTATCGCCAAAAGTGTCTTCACTCTTGAGACATTTCCTTCAAGGTAATCAAATTTTCGATGTTAAAGCACAATCCTAGTCTTACAGTCTCCAAGTAAAGCTCCGTTGCAATTAAGATACCACGACAGCAAAGACGGCAAAAAAAAGGTCACTTATACGTGACTTCGTGTTCTTTGAAACTTTAAAGCGATTATCCCAACTCGCTTAATTTGTCAAATGTAGGCGAACACTCCTGGATTTGAATCCCTAAGAAAATTATGCAAGTTGATTGAGATTAGGCAATTTCTTTGTCACGCAGTAACGGCATAGAAATGTACGGAAAAGTGTGTTGCACGTGCAAGGTTGTTGTTTTGCTAATGTAAACGGCCTATTGCCGTTCTCGTTGCCGTCGCCTTCGTGACATCTTTTAAAAACACCCTAATGAAGACACAGAGGAAGAAACAACCAAATAAACGTCAGAAATAGAATGAGGAAACTTAAACAAGAAAAGACACAAACCTGTTGGAAAGAACCGGCGTCTGTTCTTTCGTGCCAAGGTCAAAGGAATCATCCTTCTTTACCACACCATTCGGAGTGTTGAGACCGTCCAGCCAGCTTTTGACTTTGCGCGGTGGCGATGAAAAACTATCATCGTCACGGTCAGAGTTCATGGCATTAATTTTGTTGTTTTCGACCTCTGTTGCACTGTGCCATGACTTACTCTTTAGTCTATCTCTTTCATCTTTTTCTTCTTCACGTTCCGGGGAATTCTCCGCAGATGAATAACTGTGCAACGAGAGAGAGTTATTCAGTTGATCATTCTCCTGTTTAAAAGTGACATACTTTTTCTCTAAGTTCCTTTTTTCTTTGTGGACATCTTTTAGGATCTTCTCTAGCTCCCGAATTTCCCGCCAAATCATGCGCTTATTACTCTTCCAAGGTTCGCTCTTTTCGTCTTTCTTCTCCATGTGATACTCCAGTTCATTCTGGGCGATCTCCAAACTGGATTTCAACAGTTTGTTCTCGCGCTGCAGCGCATCTACTTCTTCTTGATAGCTGGAGAGCTTTACTCTGTCCGAAGAGATCTGCCGTTGGGCTTCATGAAGTTCTAGAAGAACTTTGCTGTTGTCGTCCTGTGCTTTTACAAGTGATCTCTCTAATTCACCCTTCTTGTCTTCAACGCACCGAATCATGGCTTGGTCTGCCTGTGCTGCTGCTCTAAGCGCACTATTTTGTCTCTCCGATTCCTCAAGGCGTAGTTCCAGCACCTCTAACTCCTGTTTAGGGACAAGCTTCTGTTTCGGGCTTCCCAGATACTCCTTCACATTGTCCTCTGTTCGGCTGTCGTCAGAACCTTCATTGAAAGCAGCAATTTCCTCTTCCAAAATCTTGTTCCTGTTCTCCAGTTCAAAACAACTCTTCTGTAGCTGAAGATTCTCGTTTTGCAAGTCACTAATTTCGTTATCGTACTCTACTCGTAGGTTCACAATGCTCTTTTCCAAAGACTCGACTCGCTCCGCGAGAAATTCACTTTCTCCGTTCTTCTTCTCGTATTCGTTCCTTATCGTAGCCATTCCATCGCTGAGACTATCAAACTTTTCTTTAAGATCATAGTAACGTGTCTCGTAATCTTTCAGCAACTCAAGCTGTTGATGTAACGCGAAGTTCTCGCTAGCAACGGAGTCAAGTTCGTTTCTCATGCACTCTAAAATAGCATTTTCCTCTTCAGCCATTTCCTCGTCTTGAGATACAAGAGCTTGATATTTTTTCAGCACTTCATCTGACGCAATTTGGGCGACGGTTTCTTGTAATTTCTCCTGGAATCTAACTGGGATGTCCTCAAGAGGTGTCCCTTCATATGCGCGTTCTAGTTTTTCCTTTAGCGTCTCCAGAGTGTCCACCTTGGCTTGCTCAACCTGAAGCTTGAACTTCAAAGCTGTTTGCTCGATTGAGTTTAAGTAAACCATAAACGGATCGTCCAGATCACTCTCGTGTTTTTCATCTGCCTCCGTGTCATAAAGAGCTGTTTCAAATCCACAATGGCCCTCTGTTGATCGAGATGGACTTTTTGCGCGGTCATTTTCCATTAATCTCGTTGTCTTTACCGGTGAATCTAACGTCGCCCAAGTGACAGTTGTTTTCGGGGAAGACTGCATTGATGGCAGGCCCTCACCGGTCTCCGTAACAAGAGAATCAAGTGTTGAATGGCTCGGGGAGATAGAAATATCCAGAGGCCCTTCTGCGGCTTTTTCTTGTTCGCCAAATACAGTGTCAAGCCCAAGAAACTGGACTTTTTTGCTTGGCGTCGAGATGGCTGATTGCTCTGAATCAGAAATAACTCCATTATCGTTCTCAGGAACATGTACTGGTAATGACGGCCCAGTATTGGTCGATGACTGGAGATCATCACCACACATCGTCTCGGCACTGGCTACTGTCTGGTCTTCCGCAGTGGAAGTGGTTTCCACACTAGCCGGTGATTGATGAGATTGAACTGACCCGGGTTCACCGTTGGCCAACAACGAACCTCTATGATCCACAAAGGTTGGGCTAAGGTTGGGATGTGATGCACCATTGGCCAGCGATATTGGTTCCAACGAAGGTGGCCTTTGATCATCGAAAGCATCTACTACCATTCCCTCTATTTCTTCATCATTTGCTCCATTAATGACCATTATAGGGGAAGGTGCTGAACCGTTTAGGTCCACTTCTGTTGAATCATTATTTAGCCAGGTCTTGGCTGTTGCTAGTTCAGGAGGCATGAATCCCTTCTGCACCGCATCTAACATCAGCTCAAGAAACTGCTGATCAACACTCGTGTAAATTTCTCCATCGACTGGCGGGAGAGTGAAAAGGTCCTCGTCATTAACTGTGAGGTAATTGTCGTTATGATCCGGTGGGACCACACTAACTGGAAAACTTTCCGCTGTCTTTGTGGGGACACCCTGCTGTATCATAGAAGAGGTAGTCATACCCTCGGTGGGGGCAGGCGCCATATCCTTAATAAACAGCTTCTGCGGAAGTTTCTGAAAATTAAGGCAAAAAAATCTCATTTAGTAAGAAAGAATGAAACAACAACATGTAGGGTAAATATTTGCCCATATTTCTTATCATTTCAACATGTAGACAGCTTTTAAACCCAACCACTAAATAATCGGCTGGAACAAAACTTTTTTTATATAAAGCTACGTAGCATTACTTTTGAACGATATGACATGGGCACTTGAAAAAAGCATCAAAGGAAACAGAAGTGCGGCCCAAACGAGGAAAGGCTACAAAAAGGCTTTACATGGCTCTGAAAAAAATTGCCGACTTACATTTCTACCGACCGTAAAGGATAGCGTGATTCCGTGTATAAGGAACAAATAGGTAATTACGTTAAGTCCATTTGACCCTTTAACAAAAGATATTCAGTTCATTCAAAGAACCAATATTTGTATCACACTTTCTTTGATATAATCTATTTCATTGCAATAATTTGAATTGACGCTTCTCACCGGCATTTTGCGTACTAAACTATTCGCGACGGGAAGTGAAGATCAATTTAATTTAAGCTTTATTATAAGGATTGAAAAGATATTAATGAAAAAAGAACCACACCTATAATTAAGCATTAAGAAAACTGCCATCTGATGGCTTAAGACATACGTAATGACAAGGCTGGATTTGTGATATTCTAGCCTGTTCTGATGATTTAGATCTTCGACATCGAAAAAACGCGAGTTACAGGGAGAAAAACAGCATGGTGGCTGATTGATGGCTCGAGAATTTTAACGCCTTGACAGATCACTATAATACGCTATAGCGATATTTAAGCAAGTTATAATGAAGTTCAGTTCATTTTGAAGTAGCGCATGCAAATCAATGCAACCATCCTTAGATTCTCTATGATAAATTTAAACTTGTCATGAATGCTCTTTTTATAAATTATTTTCAATAATGCTTGTTGCTGGTTAACAGCAACGATAAGAGCAGTGAGAGGGGAGAGGTGGAGCCATCTAGTAAAGTATCAAAAAACATCGCTATGTAAGCGAACTACCGCAATGTAAAGAATGGAAAGTCTCTGTTGTAATGATATTGGTTTTCAGTTGCCGTTCAATTCGTGCCCTCATATTCGCAAGTGGTTAGCCCAATGACTGCTTTGCACAAAGTAACTGTACTGAATTGAAATAGTCTCTGGACCGGTGAATCATGTTTTTTCGTTTATAACTGTTTAGGCCTTGTCTACAGCGAGGAGGCTGTTGGTGAGAAAGCGTGATTTATGAAGCGTAGTAATAAGACTATGCTCAGCGTATATTTTTCTTTTATTAAGCTTTTTCGGATGAAACTTAAAGATAATTGATGTATATTCGCGTGGTAAGCCATTTCCTTAAGAAATTAGCCAGTTTTAAATAGCCCTTCCTTTCAAACGGAGCCAAAGGATATTCCCAGTAAAATTTAATAGAGACTAAATTTCAAGAGGCTTTATGCAGTACAATTTACTTAAAGATGAATTCTGATATTGAATCACTTTGTAAGTGTTAGGATCAAAATTAATCGTGGTTACCTATCAGCAGATCAAATGTAGGTGAGCCTTGTGTATAGAGTCAAACAAAGACACATGAAAAGGTCGTTTTCATTTTACGTCGATTTTGAAATGCTAATCGAGATGCGTTAAATGATAGAATTAAACCGTTCTTGGCTAAAAGGGACAGATTTAATTTTGTTCAAAATATTTTCTTTAAGACTCTTTTGGCAGTAAGTTTCACACTAATTTCACAACGAAAGTTTCAGCTCTTCGGGCTCCTAGATCAAGTTAGGGCGAGATGATCCTTCACTTTAAGTTTTAGATATGCAGATGAAATCCCATGGTGTTACCATTCAAATAAAATCGCTTAAGGAGAACTTTTGGATACAGGTGTTTCTTTCATACCATTTTAAAGAAAGATATTTCGATCTTTTCGCGAATTTTTCCACATTATCAGACCACTACAAGGATTAAAAAAATGTTTATCAGTTACCTTTTGAAGCCGTGGTGTTGTAGCCTGGTTTGTCCCTGACTGTATTCGTTCTTGTAAGGCCTTTAAGATGAAAGGAGCACATTTAACGAAATGAAAATCAAAAGACAATCCTTGGGGATCAGATTAAATAGTCAACACGCAAATCAAGTAATATTGGTAGCCAAGTCCCCCCACGTAGAATAAAACAGACCAATCTATAATGGTGTTTTGATGTCTTTGCGTCATGGAACGCAGTTTCTTTCGAATTTGTCATAACTACACGCTATCTACGTTCAGCACAATCACGGAACGTTTTCTTTATCCCAATACTGGTTCCCACAAAGGGAAAAAAAGCGCAGTTCAAAGAACACAAAGTATTCAATAGTTATTTCACACTTAACCTTATTTTATTACGTGATTAATATATAGATAGTGGAAGGGCAAATATTTTGGAAGCTTTTGACAAATTGGCCCTTCACACGCGAAATGTCTAGTACAATACGTTCCGCCTTGAAACAGTTCACGTCTTTCGCGAAAATTCGAAAAACCAACACTTTCTCAATTCACAACCTTTTAACCAGGTAATTTTTTTTTGTGAAAAGGATAACGTAAAGATCCCTAACATTTAAACCTGGCTTTTCTGGCTCTAAGTTAGATATAAAAATAGCAACTTTCCAAATGAATCGATCATTTCAGGAGATATGGCGTTATTGTATGCTACTATTAAACAGCTTAAATAGAACAGCAGTCCCCCAAGGTATAGGAGGCAAAAGCAGATGCGAAAAGAAGCACTGCTCAAAGCTGAAGCCCCTATGGCCAAAACTTGACATTTTGTCTCCCTGCATAACCTTGCACACTTCATTTGCATCGGGAGAGAACAAGTTAACTGCTACTTTCGTTCTAAAGTCGAACGGGGAACTATAGAAGCACATATACAAGGGTAAAAGGTATAATACATGGCGTACTGTTGCAAAATATCTCACTGCTGTATACGTATAGCTTTGACAGAAGGGAAATATGGATCTCGCTCACAGGTTTAAGAGGTGGATCTAAATTAAGACAAAGTTTGCATTTGCAAAAGTAAAGATTGCAATCTGTTTTTTTCTCAAAAACTAGGCGAAAAGTAAGTTAACTATTAAATGCTTACCTAATTTGAGGAAACTGGTCAATAACAAGAACTTAAATCAGCACCTATTTTTCAACATCACTCAGAGCGCTTACTAAAAGTAGCAAGCCTTTTGTTTTCAAAAGCAAAATAGCCTTAACAGCTCGAAGAATGGTCGATATTAATTTTATTGAAATTGCACAGGTTTGCAGTGGAGCGTTTCGGGAAGCGAAACAAAGAAAAGACGATTTCTTTAGAATTAAATTGCTTAAACATAACGCTAACTGTGGGAAAACATTTGCGATTCACACCAAAGACACTTTCTGATGATGCCAGTTACTTTCTCGCTTCGAAATGTTTAGGTTCAATTTTCCAAATGGGTTTTAAGGTATCGCATTTGCAAATCAGAGATTCGTTAACAGAGGAAACAAAAATATTTCACACATGAACAGACTGCATATATGATCGAAAAACAAAGGCTGTTAATTTGCATAAAACTTCCAGAACAGACCCGGCGGGGTTTTCTCGTTCAAAAAAGATAACATTTTCCCTTCCTCAAAAAGTGCGTAACAATAGGTTTAACAGTTTGTATAGGAAGTTGACTGTTGCAACATGCTTGCATATAACTAGTCACAGATCGCATAAATTTATATCTAACTTCATTTCCACCTGATTGAGGGGTCGCATGGGTCGATCGTTTGGACAAGATAACATTTTGTTTACTGACTCCCTCGCCCTTCTAAACAATCACCACCCTCTTACTGCCACTTCCGCTTCAAGGAAGTTAACTCTTAGTCTTTCAAAACCCTCTCTCCTGCACAGTTAAATAAAACCTGCAACAAGCCTTTCCTGCAGCGCTGTTTATCGTTCCGAGAAAAGCGCACTTATGTTCCATGTTTAAGAACAAGGCCCGAAACGTGACTTACTGAGACGTCAATGATTATGCTAACTACATCTCAAACGGTGCGTGTTTCTCTTACTCATTAAGAAACGTGACTATGCAGTGAAAAAATTTTTAAAGCGGGCAGTATTTTCCTCTGGCACTGGTTATTTCAATCAACAAGGGCTCTAACTTTTTAGTATCTGGATGAATTCTATAAGTGTGACCATTCAAATCAAAGCTAGCGAGCAGTGCGTTCAACAGGTGTTGATTATTATGCATAAACAGGTAATAGCTTCTAGTCCCAGTACATAAATTTCTCAAGCGTGACAAAAAAAAAAAAGAAAAAGACAACTCATTCGAAGGGTATGGGCCATACTTTCCTGTATTGTAAAAAGTTGTTTCTTGCATTTTACTGTTTAATCGCTACAGTAGCAGCAGTAGTTTCTTGAGCGTATTGGCCAAGCGTTAGGTCAAGATGGCCCGATATTGGCCAAGTTCTTTTTTGCGTTTTTATTGACCGACACGAGGTCGAGGTCAATGAAAACGCAAAAAAGTACGAGGCCAATATCCAACCGTCTGGGGCTTGGTCAATAAAGGATTTATTATACAGCCAAAAAGAGAACTTTTTCTTGCGGGACCAACGCAGGAAATCCCGAGCAGGCAAGATGGGCCCATCTTCAAAGCGCCCGGTCGGGTGGCCAATAAAACGCAAGATTTTCTTCACCTTACCCGCTGGCGGATTCAGCCATGATATATTAATGTTGGTTACGGTTAAGGACAGATTTAAGCTTTTTTTTCAGTTTCCACACTCAATACAAGCAGCCTAAAGAGTTGTTGATGTTATCATCGGACAGATTGACATGCACGTTCTTCACGTTTTCATCAGAGTTTCTCAAACGCATAAATACGAGATCTTTTTTAGTGTTTTTTTTTTTCTGCAGACGACCCGTTGTCACATATTTTTATTTTTAAAATATTCAGTGTGAAATAAATAAAAATTGACTTGATTTGATTTGACTTAGTATATTATCCAGGTCGTCAAAAAATAGCGTGAGACTGTTAAAAACAATAGGCCAGTTATTTAAACGGAGTTTAGCCAGTGTTTAACATAGCCGCGTTCTAAGACATTTTCAGTTTGGTGGACGCTTTTATGTCAACACCATTTATCGTGAACATTAAAGCATGTAAAGTGGACTGGAAAAGCATTAGTCTCAAAAACCAATTCTTCGTTTTCACTGTCACGCAATAAACACGGCACAAAAAAATACATTTGAAACCGTCCAGTGGAAGAAGCCAAGAAAATGAAATGTTATAAAAGACTAATATATAAATAATTTGTCCAAATCTCAGGTCTTTGTGGCCCACAGTTTCTCAGTTAGTTGCCGAAACATTTCACGCACCTTTGTAGAGCTTTGTATGGAGACGCCATATTGGTGGACAGAAACTGTCCACCAATATGGCCGCCGGAAATCAACAAAAACATCTGGAGTTCACTCTTTCTATAAAAGCTCCTCCTTTTCACTCGAGAACTAGCATACTTGCGCATAAACATATCTTCTAATACTTGAAATGGTTAAACTGCTGAAAATCAAGCGGAGAGACTTTTTTCAAGGAGATAGCATTCCTATTTTGGTGTCACGCACTGTGAAAACTCGGAAGTTTAAACTGCTGTATTTTCGAAATGAAACATGCTTCGTGGCTGGAAACTTGTACAAAGATTTATTTCCTATTAATCTTCAACCTAGTGTAAATAAGAATTCGTAAAACCTCGCTTTTTTGACTTTGCAATCTGATGACGTCACCGTGAAGATCTGGAGGTTCAAAGATTTCCTCAACAGCGCGGATCTAAGGTTAGACTTCGTTTCAATAGACCTAAATAACCGACCCAAAGTGTCGACCTCAAACAAATCGAATACACTTTTTTTTAGAAAAAGTACATTGCGAACATTTGATGTAACTTACTTGAATTGCTGCATGAGACTTTGTGTGTTGATCAACGAGATTCCTCAGAGCCAGAGGAGACACTGTCCAAAAACAAAAAATAAACACAAATTACAAAGATCACAACGATTTTTCACGTAACTATTCCTTAGCACAGCTTCTGTTACGTGTATGTCACAGGTCATGGGTATTTACAAGGCTACATTTTCGATCACCCTACGTTGTTTACGAAATCTGATTTTTTTTAATCCTGGAAATGGAGGGTAAATGAAGAAAACAGAGGGGATTTTTTATATGTATATATTTTTTGCATGACTGAAATGCCGGTTTCTTAAGAATATTCACGAAATCATCATAAGATTTACTTACGGGGTGAGTTATCCAGCGTTGCTTTATTATGCGGAAATTTGCTAGGAGAATAGTTTTGTACCGCGTCCCCATTTGCGTGATTTCTCGGTTTGGAAGGTGACTGCTCCTGTTTTGCTCCACCCTTCATTGGTTCCTCGCCTTTCATAGCACAAATCTGCAGGCGGTAAGAAAATTAAAATAAGCGGGCTTCGACACTTTTCCAGCTTACAGAGAGGTAACACTCGCCCCATGTAAGGTACTACTCGCGCCATGTAAGGACAAGGTACTCCGGATTCCGGAATTCAGGAAATTTTTGTTGATGGTGGAATCCAGAATTCAGCTCAAGGAATCCGGAATCCACAGCCTTGAATCCAGAATCCGGCATGACACCACAGATAATTCTTACAGGACATTCTTGTCGATTCTTGGATTCCGTGGTTACTTTGCCATCATCTGTAATTCTACGTCAAGTTTCGGAAAATATATGTTCGGAAGACGATTTGAGATCTAGAATTTTCGGAACATTTGTTGTAAAATTTCTTGCTTGCCTGCCTCTCCTAGAATTTTCGAGCATCTAAAAAATGGTATAATTGCACAGTTTTAACGGATTTTTACCCTAAAAAGGTCACCTAGAATTTTCGAAAAGGTAAGTTTTGATCCCTATAATTTCCGGATCACTAGACTTTCAGCTAGGAAATCCGAACAGATAAAAAATTTTTAGGGGATATAAATATGCCCATATCTACCGTTTCAATACTAAAATACGTTTAACAATGCTATGTTTAAGTGGTTTTGGACTATACTCTCGTTAGGTGCCCCTGTTCTATAAGCGCTTCTTGCATCTCACAATTCCTTCGCTAATTGAATAACAGCTTATAATATAAAAGGAAGGTTTAAATAACAAAGCAAAAAACAAAAAAAAGCTACGGATGTGCAAACTGAAAGGTTAGAAGGAATAAATGCCGAGGCATGCGTACTGTTAAGCTTGACAGTTTTTCAAAGTTTGTCTCTACTCTTTGTGACTTTGAAAATAACTCTCAGGAGACGTATTTTTTGTCACGAAACTGTTATTTTGCCTTTTACAAGTACTGTAATTTCTTCCCAAAGAGCGGTAACAGTCAGCTCTTTTCTCATCTTTATTAATTGCTTTCTTACCGTCGCGTTTTGTAAGGGCATGTTTATATGGAGGTGGGCAACCCAGGTTGACGAGGTAACCCGCCTGTTCATATAATCTCTCATTTTAATCTGATCACGTTCTCACGTTAACATATTACCTCACTTATCCAGGGTCCCCCACTTCCATACAAACAGGCGTTAATGTCTAATGTAGACACGAGGCTTCAAAAGAATGCCTATCGTTAACGGTCCTATAGTCCCAACAATTGTCGGTAGATCTTCATCACGATTTGCAATTACGGCTAAATCAAGAATTCTTGTCTCTTGGCCAAAATCCCACAATACGCCCCACAATACACCCCACAATACACCCGATACCTTCCGGTCTTAAATCCCCGATGACATATGCCAGGAGGTTTTTGCGTAGCTGTCGTCCTCTTCTCTGTCATCTGAATCGGTTGAGACTTTATCTCTCAAACTATCAACGTTACCCATTCCTGGAATCCCCTCGACATTCAAGTGCAGCTTGTTTCATACAGAACCCTAACTTCTTTTGAGGTTACACCTTTCCTCACGAAATTATCAAGCAACATCAAATGACTATATCAATTTCCTTACGAATTCAGGGTCAACTTTGGTGGAACTTGTTACGTAATGTCTCAATTTTATGTTGCATGAACGAAAACAGATTGTAAATTTATATCGAAAAACAACACGTCAAAATCGAAAAAATCACGGTCCTTGACAAGTCCAAGGAGTCCTCGAAACAAAAGAGTGCGCCCCTGTTTACTCTTGTCCACATTGACAATGAGAAAAGCATCCTTTGACTGCCTCACACACGTACCCATGCGCCATCCTATTTTCACGAAATCGTGGCATGTACGCATTCCATATAATATCGTCAACTCTTGACTCGCGGACAAGCACCTAGCACCTCACTGACTCATACGGAATTCCCGACACTACGGGCAGCTAGCTCCCAGGCACAAATAAATTATGGACGTGACATGAACACCCAGTCGTCGTTAGGGTACATTCATTAATGGTAGTTGACTGTAACCGATTAAGCGACGATCCCATGCATATGAAGGCAATCATTCAGAGACGTACCTGACGCTTTTCTCCTTCGAGGAGGCATCATCGTTAACACTTCTTACCTTGGTTGTTGAGGGCCTCTCTTCGAATGATGGCAGCTTGGTGATGTAAATCCCGTCAGATGAAATTCTTTCACTGACCTCCACCTGAACCTTGCCGAAAAGCGGTTTAAAATCAGCCTTTTTAAGTCCGCAATTTGAGGAATTTGCTGTAAACCTTCAAGTCAAGTACATTCAGACTGAAGGAGACTTTTACATATGTTGATTGAACGGCGTTGCATGTTTGGTTTTTCATGGTTCGAGAGAATAAATCCTTATTCTCCTTCCACTGCTTCCGGCTCATCAGGTTTTTCCCGTGATCATACATTCCGCAGTATTGAAAATTTAACAGATGCTCTGCACCCACTAAAATGCCGTCCTACTTCCAATTCTTCACATCCCTTACATGCAACGAAGAGCCACAGACCCGCTACATGGGGACGACACTTACCTTAAAAAAAGGTATAGCCAATTCTATATGGCCGTTATGGATGCTCATATTCTGGAAACTACATGGGCCCCTCTTTGGATTTTCTTCAATCTTTTGGTCTCAAAGGGACTCACCTGGGCAATAACTGGTAAAGACGTCTCCATAGAGCGCTGTCCAAAGGCACTGATTCGCCGCCAATCCTGCCTAACAGAAAGCTGCGTTCAACGAGCGGTTTTAGAAGAAGCAATGAACGGGCGACGACTTTCAGAATCGAGAAAAAAAAAAAAACCTGACCCTGAAAGGGTCGACCTGTCAGCGGATTACTATACATGCCTGTGCTGTTTGTAACGCAACTCGCTCATCGCGCTTACATATACATCGGTACAAACTGCTAGGACTAATCGTTCTAGGTGTGGCATCTTTCTGGTCGGGCAAAACGTAGAATTCACGAGCAGTAGGACTTAACTGAAAAACTGCTCATACTGAGACAGATCACTGCCGTTCTCAGCCACTTTTGCTATGAAAAAACATCTTTATACACTCCAATTGATACACTCGGTAAACCTTTCCTTTAAATCCGGAATTTTCTGACAGTTTTCCTGGGCATGTTTGACCAAAGAGACCGGAAAGTTCCCATAGCAGCGCTTGGTATGCACAACAGTTCGCGGTTCCATCATCCACGTAAAAAAATCAGTAACTTTCTTCCAGAACTTCTATGACCCGCTCGGATTTTTTTTGCTTCTTTTCGATCTCCTTCTTTTTCCTGCCATAGGGAATGACTTTCTCTACTGGCAACTTCAACTGACCATCTTGGTCGGTCTTCGCTAGCCTGGCATAGTGCCCGGCTCGAAGGACCACTGTGCTCAGGAATATCCACTTTCAATAGCGTTATTTTATCCCCATAGATTGCGAATAACGACTTTCCTTAATCTGCTCTTTTTGTTTCTATTCTTTACCACAACAAAAAAGGTTCTTACGATTCGGTCGGACGTTGCTACATACAGCTGATTGAAAAAAGTGTCATGGCATGAAACGTATAATGGATTTATGGGTAGAAAATTATCAACATGGCAAAACTAAAAGTTCTTATTAGAAACGCTTACAATAGGCATGAGCTTCACGAGTTTGAACAAGGTTCAAACCGTTTCCACTTTTCTTGGCGATAAGCCTACAACTTCACCTATAGACACACGTTTGTTCAGAGAGATCTCTCTAGTTACTGAGCATAGCAACATCGCCAGCGTACACTTTGAAATCATAAGGTGCGACCTAAAGGTTTTCAGGAAAGATTTGAAGAAAAAACGCGGCATGGCTAAAATAAACTACAGTGATTTTCATCCGCATGAGAAGCTCGTGATAATGCAAGCTTTTCTTTTTTGAAATCTCGACTGACAAAAAAATACCCATAAATCCTTGAAGCCTCGTCGTTCATGGTTTATACTTTTTTGAAAGCGACGTTTCTACAATCAGGTATATACGCAAAACATTGTCTGTCTAATGTGATTAACGCTATTGAATAGGAGATTACATTATACAAATTAAAAAATGCCTTCGGTTGTTAGGAGTAAGCATAATTATTAATAATTGACATCCGACATTATCTGGTAATGACTACGTACACTATGCACGTGTCTACAATTCACGAATCTCGTGTAAAAATGCCAAAAGGGTGTTTGTTGCATAACGGAGGAACCACTTTCTAACACTTAGAATTCTCCCTCCCATTCTTAAGTCCCTGACTCTTTTTTGCTTGTAAAAAAAAGTTGCGATAATTTGTTAAAAGATCAAAAGACTTTTAACTTGGTGATGATTTTATTGATTCTCTTTATCTTTTGCGTTGTTTATGAAAAGATATTTTTAGGAGAAAATTAACGTTGATCACTCGACGTATTTAACGTAACACGGACTCTTTGTGCCAATTCAAGCCGTGTCCAACCTAGAGACAGATAACTACAAGACCACTGCTCTTTCTCGAATTCACCCAAAAGAGATACAGCGTGTCACTTCAAGAACAGAAAAAAGTTAGACAATGTTGTGGCAAAGCTTAGGGGACGACCATTTCTCTTTAGAGGGGGGTGGAGCTGTCACGCATTTCAGAACAAACAATAACCTGCAAACAGACTTGAAACGAAAACAAACAGAAATTCCAGTTTCTGTAGTTTCATGATTATGCCAAAATGTTAGAAGGAAAACATCGATCATGAAAAAAGTCTAACTTGAATACTCGGTCACTTTAATGAGTTTAAAATTCCTCACAAGGCCCAAGTGTCGCATCATTTCTCGAAAATATTGAGAGGGATTGCTAAACAGTCAAAACTCGACACGACATCGACTCTAAGCAGATGTTAAGTAAATCAGTGTTAAAGGAAATGCTCTTGTGACTGGTTTACCGGCCAGATAAGATGCAAGATGAAGATGCATACAAAAACGTGCAATTTCTTAAGGTTGTAGGACTGAAGACCAGATTTTCTGAGAAGCAGCAAAAAAGCTAAAAAAATAATTTCTGAAGGTCGTAAGACTAAAGGCCAGATTTTCTGCGGGTAACAAGTAGAAAAGAAAAAAATATATAGAGCTATTAGACTCGTACGGAAAATTTTCTGAAGGGATATATGTTCATCAATGAATTTTTCTAAGGGCTGTTGCGGAAAAAGCATTTTTCTGATGGAGGAGAATTTCAAAGTCCTTCGTCAACGCCGGAGGTATGTGTGTATTAAATGGACTGACCCTATTCCAAAGGAATTGGGTTGCTCGCCAAAGTGCAAATATCTGCACTAATCAATTGTAAGAACTCACCTTCCGTCGTAACACAGCCATATAAATCACCACTGCGTACTCGTCAAATGTATCATCGTCCAGAATACCAGACGAACTAGAAGAGTAACATACCATCACATGTTTATCTGATGTCCTCAACAGCAACAGTAACAACACCGAACAACAACATTTATTATTTATAGTGCGCGCTTTTTCTATAAAAATAATCAAAAGCGCATGACAATTAAAAATTACGATGATTATTAATAAAACTATCGACTACTCTTTCAGGATAAAAATATATCCTTAGGGGTGTTTATCTAAAAGCAAATAAAAAAAAATAGATGATTTATATACATATACATGTATGTACAAGGTCGCGTCCGCGCTGCTTAGTCTCCTGTCACGAGACCTGCATGGTCAGGTGACCTAAAGAAGGCATCATCTTGAGAAGACAGCGAGTTACTAGTCGAGAGAGATGCTGTTGAACTATCACAAAATTCTTTTGTGTCTAATTTCCGCCCTGATTTCAGCATTGAAAGGCCAAAGACGTAATGGGACAGTAGTACACGCTACGCCTCACTAATTGGACAGTTCAGGTCATGCTTAATAGCAGAGCTCCACGCGCGGCGCCCCATAGCTAAGGAAATGTGGCAATCTACCCATCCGAGAAAATTTTGTAATCACGTGACCGTACACCGAGCGAGCGACCGTCCGCCGCACCACAGGCATACCAACGTAAAATAACTCAGTCAACAGTTATGGGAACCCAAATGCAAAGAAATCACATGGCCGCCCTGACTTTTAGAAAGAAATAACAACCACAAAGTCGTGTCTTTTTCGGCGTTACTTTTTATGTTTACACTAACGTGGATAACAGAGAAAGACCTAGAGCGAGTTATTGAAAACAAAGGAGACGAATTTCGTAGGAAGAAAAACATGGATATTCAAAGCGGCGGTGAGAGATGCTAGCGGCCAGCAAGGTGAAAATGAGCAGCAGTGAAAAATAAAAGGGAACATGAACACAGGAAACAAAATATTGGGTAAGCACATACGACAATTCCTCCATAAAAATAATGTGTAACTAGGAAGTTTGACGTTTTAGTCGTACAAAACACCGTTGCAGTCGTGCAAAACAACGGCAAGGGAAAGACAAAAATAAGGCCTGCTGCACGTGCAAATTTGTTTTTTGCTAATTAGAAGAAAAAGTGTGCTGCACGTGCAATTTTTTTTTTGCTAATTAGATCTCTTAGTCTTGAAGCCATTTTCATTGTCGTTCCGATTTAATTTTTTTTGTTTACACGTATTATTAACCAGAGCTTCGCTTTAAGCCCTGGCTAAATCTATATATTGCGTATTTGGACAGTACCGGGCACCATCGGCTAATAGAACAGTTGCTCTCTTTTCACGGCTAGCAAAAAAAAAAAAAATACAAAAAAAATACAAAAATATATACAAAAAAGAGGGAAACTAATGCAAAAACCTTGCGTTTTAAATTAAAAGATCACAAATGTTGCCAAGGGTGGATTTCCACTGTGCGTAATTTTTACCGGTCTGTAATATCGATCCCAGTTTCCAATGCGCCAAGGAAAGACTCAAAAGGACAGAAAATCATTTCGCTTTTATTGCATTAGAAGGAAAAGCCTCTAAAACGTTTGGGTATCCGGTGGTCTCACAAGGTATTGTACCTGAGTATTGCACTTGGAATACCAAGTTGGGCCTCAGCAGCCATCAAAACCTTGAGGAGGGTGCTCTTGTCTATTGCCTTAAAAGATAGACAAATTGAATATCAAACAATGTTTTTGCGCATGTTTCATCTGTTTGAACACAGGTACCCTAAGATCGAGATATAACACAGAGAATAGAAGAGGTCAACCAAAGTACATGTATCTAAAACAGACGTTACAGTTGAACTTACGTTAAGCGGCCACCTTCTGTTAAGCGGCGAGTAGCCAAAGCCCCGAAATAATTGTAGAAAAGAATGGGGAATTTAGTAAACTTAACCTCTATTAAGCGGCCACGGCCACCTTTTGGTGGTCCCAAAAAGACGGTTCTTCCAAAGCTTTCACCTCTATGAACCCTTTCACTTCCAGAGTGTTTGATGGAGTTTTGTAAGGTGACTCTAAATTTTGAGTCTGTGGACGAAATCCTATGGTGTTACCATTCTGCCTGTACTTTCACATGATGCTATTTGTTTCCCACAATTTTGGAAAATGAAATTTGGTCGAAACTTGCCTTTGGCCACATTTAGCAGTGAAAGGGTTAAGCGGTGGCCATCAAGCCCGTGATACACTTAATTTGGATTTATTTGAAGAATATGATGAAGGAAAATAAATAACGAGATAGAAGGTGAAGACCGATTGTGCACCAGTAATGCTACTCCCATCGCGTGTTTGTTTCAGACTAAGGTAATCCTTCTGCTAAAGATTATGCGGATTTATAACGAGCCTCTACTGAGCGGCCAGCCTCCACTAAGCGAGCACTTACCAACCCCGAGGGTGGCCGCTTACTGGAAGTTCCACTTTATTTTCAATACCTGCAAATCGCTTGGGTCGACTCCATCCACTGTACAGTATTTCGCGATAAGCTTAGTAAGCAAGACGCCATCCTGAAGACTAAAAATATTTACTTTCTATATACAATTAAATTTGCAAAGACGTTCTGAGTGTATTAGCAGCTATAAAAACAACTGGCTTGTAAATATATATATATATAAAATTTATTTCAATAAAATCGCGTTCACCCAATGCCGTGTTCACTGATCTAGGGCGCTAGTATGAGAGCAATGCAGCCAGGCTACTGGAGCCCAACTCAAAATAGTCTGTTTCAAGACCGATTCGTAAACTCTTCGCAGTATAGGATATTAGCAGAGACAAAACGAGCTAAGACAAAGATCATCTCACTGTGATGTTTTGACTTCTGTTTTCTCTGATTCGGCTCCTTAAGGAAAAAGACGCTTTTTCTAGTATTCCTAAAGGACACGACTTCCTTAAAGCAATCTATACCGCAAAACTCTTTGCTTTAGTAAAAACCTCTCTGCCCAGTTTTTGTCACCTCCTGACACTCGACAAACTCTCGGCTAGCCAAGTTTGGTACAAAAGGCGACTTCTGCTAGCTACGTCCTGTTGGAGCTTTAAGTTTTTTGACGAGACGTTTTTGCCACTTTGTCAAGCTACAGATTACTGTTTCGGTCTACCCCTACCAAATTAAAAGAATTGATTGACTTTAAACGTGACAGAGGAAACTAAACTGTATAGCTAGACAGCCTTACTTTTCAGTGAAGTACTGCTCGATTTTCCGCTTCATTTGCTATCGTCAAACAGAAAATCACGCAACGTAGTGATGTGAAAACAGAATCAGTTGCAATTGTGTTCTCTATCAAGGGCTTATACTGAAAATGAAACGCTATGCGGACAAGGTAGACTAATGTACATGTATTAAAATTCCCTGTCATAATACCGGGGAAAATACAACACGAACGGGAAATACGCAATGTTTGGATGGTTCTGGGTTTTTTTTAAACCGCTTTATTAAAAAAAAAACCGTTAATCACGAATACAAGTAATTTGATAACTTTGCTGTCAGTTGTCAAGTGTGTATTGTACTGTTCTCATTGTTAGCACACTAGAACAGTCACGAACTTCAATCACGTGAACTCCACGAACTGGGATCACAAATGTCAATAGATTGATCTAGATCTATCCTGATTATATTTCTACGTGAAGAGAGGCGAAAAAAAAACGTAAATATCCGGATTTTTTTTTTTTACAAGCTATTTATTTATTTCAATTGTGCAATTGCCAGTGGTAAAATTAACCCGGGATCAAACTTAACAGTGGCAAATGCATGTAGAGTCAAAAAATACTCACGTAAACTTATGTAAAACTAAAACAAGCAAGAAAAAAAAAAACGTCTGTCAGACTTCAACAGCAAATAAAAATTAACATTAAAAGGAGCTGTGTCAAGACGTTTATCAAAATTCGAACCGTCGAACTGTCACGAAATTGAGTGAAACAGAAGTAACTCCTCCAAAGTACAAAAGAAGGTATAAATGACAGAGCTTTGAAATGCAAAGTAGGCACCGGAAATTTTTTTTCTCCGGTTTGGCCTTCCATCCACACGTATCCGGTGAAAACGGTCACCGAAAGCGCACTCCAGGGTTAGGATTTTTGAAAACACCTGCTTCTCGTTTACGAGTGGACGGACGAAAACGGAGTTTTTCGAATACGATTCATGGTGTCTTAATTTCCTAAGTTTTCTCTAGATGCAGCAGGCCAGAACAAACTGCAGATTTAAACAAACGCCGGGTTCACAAGACCAATGTTGAATTAAACGCCCGGGGCGTTTAATTGAGAAAATGCGATACTACGAGAATTACGTTTGCTCCACAAGTGAAGCTGCTCTCCTGTTTTCATCGTATAGTATGCGTTTTCGTGTCATTCGAATACGTTACGTCTGGAAGCGAATATTTTTAAAAACAGAGAAAAATACGGATACTTGTGGATAGGGCCTAGCTGAAACGGATTGCGATCGTGGTTTTAGTCTAACACTTTTTTCTAAGTTTAGTTTTTTTCTTTGTAACGTTTGATAATTACATTAATGGTCTGGAGACAAAATGTTTGACACGATGCTCTGATTTTGCCATTTGCAGGTAATTTTTTCAAGTTCCATAGCTAATAAGGACGGCTGTAATTAGTATGAATAACAAAATCAAGTAGACAGCCGTGAGGTAGCTCCTTTAACTGAACTAAAGAAACCTCTTGACTTACAAGTCCAAAAATGGTCCTCTTGGGTCAATTGCTGAGCTTGGAATTTCTGTAAGGCACCATTCTAAAAGGAACCTCTTGCCTAAATTGACTGTCCTCTGATACGCTGCGCGATCTAAGAATTAAGGAACACAAAAAATTTACTAGACTTAGCTTCACTAAGTACAGAACTGTATTCTGTACAAGTGCACTTCTAGTAAAATTTATAATAATCAGATTGCGCCATCTGCAAAGGTTTGTACAGTAAGGATGTGTAGTATACAGGCAGAACTAACTCTGCTGCCTACCACAACTTATAAATAGCCAGAGATAAAATGTATGTAATGTAAGGAATACTGAGGTTGTAAGGCATTCTGGAACTTCTCCTTTGGGACACCTCTATTGAAGGGACATCTCTATTCAGGAGAACGAGACTAACCTCCATTCAGGGTTTAGGGGAAGTGTCTTAGCTCTCAAAATGTACCTGACCACAAAGAGTGTTGTGTACACAGCCCATCTCACATAAATCCATGTACTGTACTTGAGGGAATTCAACAAACAAAATCACTGAATTAACAAAGTTAACCATGACTTTTTGTACATTATCCAGCTGGTTGAAATAATGGCTGCTTATTAAGTTTCCTTAAGGAAGAATAATTTTTTTTGTTGGTTAATTATTAAAAAAACCCAGCCCAACCTCTATTCAGGGGGCACTTGCCTCGGTCATGAGGGTGTCCCCTCGATAGAGGCTGCACTGTAGAACATGTACTAACTTGCACTGTGAATTTCAAAATGTAAGATGATAAGCCACAGGATGTCCAGGATAAATTTGAGCTTCCCACTTGAAATGTCTGAGACCAAAAGAAAGAAAAAGAAAGCGTGAAAAGATAAAAATTAAAGAAAAAAAGAGGAAAAGAACCTGAGCCTGCGATCACTTGAAAACTAGTAAAATGTAACTTGTCAGCAGATAATTACAAAAAAGAAACACCCAGCCTCAATGGGTCGACACCTCAGCCCATGATACGGTTTTGCAATACTGGTCAGCAGATACCCTGTTTTGACAGCTGTCAACTGATCACAACATAATGGATGTGCAAAATCAGGTTGCAGCCTCCTAGACTAGCTAGAAAAAGTGAGATTTCACATTGGTTACCCTCTGGTGTCCGTGAGGACGGCCAGGTGGAGAGACAGGCGGACATAATTAAATAATGGTCATGTGACAACCAAAATTTCTCGGATGGATGGATAACCAAAATTAATTTTTTTTGCTATATGTGGCTCCACTAGCATGCAAGAACAGAAAACTTGGTCACTTGGTACTTATTGAAATTTGCACTGAACATTTTTTTGTGGCATTGTGTCCTTACACAAGGGACCCTACTCCACTTTGTCTCCCTTCACCCAGTGCATTTAAAATGGGTACCCAATTAACCGGCAACATACTGCTGGTGGTAAGCCTGTGATGGACTAGCACCCCTTCCAGGGGGAGTAGCAATACTCCTAGGCACTGCATGGTCCATGCTAAGGAAACTGGGATAAGCTTTGGCTGTTCGGACCTTTGGTCCATGTGCACCATCTCCCTTTTACTTAACATTTTAAATGTGATTCTTAATCTCTCCAAATATCAATCACAAAGTCACCAGTTGGCAGTGTGAAGTCTATGGTCTGAAGTCTGCAGGTCGAGTTCTGCAGACTGTGAGGTCCACAGTCTGAGTTCTGCATTCTGAGGTCGGCAGGTTGAGTTCTGCAGCCTGAGGCCTACAGTCTGGGGTCTGCAGTCTGAGGTTTGCAGGTCGAGTTCTGCAGTTGAAGTTCTACGTACGTTGTATATAGATTTTGATCAAGGTCTGAAGTCTAGTGTACAGTATGCAGTGTTAATCTGCAGTCAGAGTTATAGAGTACCCATGAGGTCTGCTGTCTAACTGTATGTTCTACCACACAGTACATGTATGTAGGTCTACTGTCTTAGGTCTCAGTACACTTAAAGACCCACAATTCATGGAGAACATAGAACTGATGATTCATCAAAAGCCGATCAAATTCTGCTCTCACAAACTTTCATTACATGTATAATAATTATGTACTGTAAATCCTCTATTAAGCCCCCCAGGGTGCTTATTTATTTCAAGCCCATTTGAGGGGGAGGGGGGGGTTAATAGGGATGGGGGCTTATTTGAGAGGGGGGGGGCTTATTTAATTTAGAAACAACGATGGTATCAGTTCTCTATAAAGAACTAGAAAACAAAGTGGAAAAGCTCAAGTACAAGAAGTTTTAGGTCATGCAGCCGAGGATCAGAATCAAATCCGATCTTCCAGTTGGTATAAGTAAGCCATCCCGGATCAGTCTGCACGCAGTTTTACAGTCGTGGTTGATTAATACAGTCTATCATTTATTAGTAAAGATGAAATAGGGGAGGGGAGGTGGGGGGTGGGGGGCTTTTACAGAGAGGGGGCCTTATTAACTTTCTTCCTCTGAAAAGGGTGGGGAAAAGGGTGGGGGCTTATTAGAGGAAGGGGGCTTATTTGAGAGGGGGGGGGCTTAATAGGGGATGAATGCAAATGAAAAAGTTGAGAGGTTCAGAATCTTGTGCCTCCACCGAGGACAACATAATATTAAATTGAAAGCACTTAAAAGATAAAAATTTTACCTTCAGCTTGGCACAAGACATCAATTCCTTTACTTTTCATGTAATCTATAACAAGTTGCACTAAGTGTGTACTCTCTGATATATGTTCATCTTTAACCTGAATGGGGAAACTGAAACTTCAGTGAAATGTGATAATGCACAAAGAATTAACACTCAATAATTTAATAATTATTTGTAAATATTATAATTTTCTTTTTTGAATACATGTATAATATAACTACAGTCAAACTTCCATATGTAACCCACCTCTACTAAACTAAAGTGACTTATGGCCCTCAAGACACGAAATTATTTTGAGCCGGAAATTTGGTATGGTGACAGGGTAACAGGGTTTGATTCCACTGTACCTAGAATGGCACTTGTAATTTCCACTCAAGTTTGAAAAGTAGGCATTTAGCACAATATAACTACAAAATTATAATGAAAAGTTAATACCAGTTGACTTTGATCAATCTCCTTTCCTGTTGTTAATTTTATCAGCTGACATAGCACAATCCCATCTTTTAAGCCCTCAGCCAGATCGTTGATCTTGGTTGAGTCACCATATTCCAATAAGCAGCAATTCAGCCAGGCTTTGTACACCTAAAGTATGATGGATTAAAAAGAAAAGACTGAGAAACTAAGAATTGCACCATTATTAGTGTCCGCCGTAACAGAGATGTCCCCATCAGAGAGGTACGAAGCGAAGGCAATTCCATTTTTCAATCTGCCCATAATTCTAGAGACATTTCTTTGGCCTCGTTTGACCTGGCAAGTCCATGATTCTTCTTTGACTTTCATTGGTGAATTAGCAGCTGCCATTTTTTGTAAAAAGAACACATTAGGGTGCAAAGAAAATCATTTTTACAGCTTGCCATTCGAGGAAGCTGAAGCTAGCATTTACTAGCTTTGATGTCATTTCAACTAGCCCCAAAAACTTTTTGACTAGCAGAATTGATTTCACAGTTCTTCTGTTATTCCAATTCCTCAAAAAACATCACTCTTGCCCATCGGGCAAGTTAAAAACAGAATTTACTAGCCCAATAACAAAATCCACTAGCCCCGGGCTATCGGATGTACTACTTTTTTGCATGCTGCACATGCATCTCGGTTGTTCAAATTGTAACCTCAGCAAAATTGATAAAATGCATCCCTTTTCTGGCAACCTGCCTTGATAAGAAATGCTGAGACTCGGCTCCGCTGGTAGTTAGCACCCCAGAAAGTTAGGGCAGCAGTGCCAACCTTTGGTGGTAATGATATCTTTACACGCTGGTAAATTGTAGTGTCCACAAGTTCGTTGCAAGCATGGTGAAAATGAATGGTGCTGTGCCAATTTTTTGCACATGTAAGTAATCGTAACAATGTTTTGTTACCTGCACAGGGTGCAAAGAAAGTCATTTTTATACAGCTTGCCATTCGGGCAAGCTGAAGCTAGCATTTACTAGCCCAGACTTCATTTCAACTAGCCCCAAAAGCTTTTCGTCGAGCAGAATTGATTTCACACTTCTTCTGTTATTCAAATTCCTCAAAGAACATCACTTGCCTGTCGGGCAAGTTAAAAACAGATTTCACTAGCCCGATAGCAAAATCCACTAGCCCCGGGCTATGGGACACTACTTCCTTTGCATGCTGCTGCAATTAATCATAACTTTAACAAAATAGCTAAATGTGTAATGAAACTGTAACTCGATCAAAATAAACCATATTTGTTTCCAATGACAAACACATCTCTTCTGGACCCTGTGGTTTTATCTGAGACTCAAACGCTGCTGATTCAAAACTAAAAGCAATTAATTTGAAGGGCGGGAGATGATAAACCCCTGGGGGTACTGCCATATATGGGCTATACAGGTATGTGCTGCTGTGAAGGGTGTGGTTTTCAAGCAGTTTTCTCTGGGATAGGGTATACGCATCAGAGAGTTTTTAATGGTAACAGGACTGAGTAGAGACCAATTCGGTCTGTAATCATACGAGTGACGCGGGAGTTCAATTTGTTTAATCACAAGTATGATTACAGTCCGAATTGGACGACACAAAGTTCTGTTACCAATTAATCAAAACTTTAACAAAATTTGGATCATTTTACATTTCTGGGAAACTGCCCAGCTACCCCTCCCCTAAGCCAACATTTTGCCTTAGTGAGAAGTAAGTATTAATGTTGGCTTAGGGGAGGGGTAGGTGGGCAGTTTCCCAGAATGATCCCAAAATTTGTGAAATATAAGGCTCTTTTTTAAATCAAAAGAGAAGAAATTCCATTTTTTTGCTAGCAATTACTTAGGCATGACGCCTACTGTCCTAATAAATATCATTGTCTTATTAAAGCTAAGGCTGATATCAGGGCAGTTGATAGCCAATCAGATTTGAGTATTTTGTTATAGCTATGATTAGTGGGGTAATTAAGAAGAGATACAAATACAAATGTACATGTATACAGTGAAATGTGCATTAATTTAAGGGAGCGTCATGTTTTTCAGACACCAAAAATATTATCAAATATTATCAAATTGATAATATTGTCTATTATATACAGTAATACTTACAAATATAATACTTAAAAATTACTTACAAGACTGTGTTCAAAAGCAAAGCCATTATTTAATACTGCCCAAGATTAGTTTATTTTAAAGAATAACTTCCCTTTAATGCGTTTCTAGTCTAGAATACTTGTCCATCTACACAGATAACGTTTGTTTGATGGCGGATTAGTTTTATCTGCTACGAAACATGTATTTTATAATACACTCACTAATATTTACTCTACGAAGAATTAATACTTGCGCAAAGAAATTTTAAAGTATTCGAGCATTATTTATAAGCCTTACAGTCGATTTAGTTTCAAAGTAAGAAGCAAAATCACGCTATTACGATCGGAAGTAAATTTGGCTCTCTTTGGATAATTTTAGTCTTTCTCTACGCACATCATAAATTCACCGGGCTCAAGGTCAGACTTCGTTAACAAAACATTGCGCAATAAATAATTGATTTCACTTTATGTGGCTATCACATCATTAAATTAAAAAAACAGCTGGAGGTGAGTTGAAAGGAAAATAATTGGAATTTTTCAAGGACCTGCAAGCTATATAGTTGTCCTAGCGTGTGAATATTTGACACTCAGGGAGAAAATAATTATTTTGTAGTCTGCTGCAGGAACAAACACTGCGTATGACTCTCAAATCTCCGACAATATTTCACTTTTCAAAGAAACTATCCGCGGAATGGACTGAAAAAAAAATTTCATACCTCAACTGGTGATCCCGATAACTTGCGGCGTAAAGCCATCGAATAAATTCTTTCACCCAAAAGTCGCGATCGTCTTCAACGGTTGCTCCAACATCATAACCGTCAACACCAGCTACATGTATATTTCCACAAGACAATTCATAGCAATTTCATCTCCAAAACAGCTTCACGAAGATCTCGACGAGGCTATAATTTGATGCTGTGCATTCGACCAGAGAAAACAAAACATTCAAAGAAGGCGATCCTGGGTGAAAGCAACTCAAAATTCAAATAGGATGCAGTGGCTACCAGCCAACGTTCTTCGCGCTTCGTTGATCAAAGCTGTCAGTAACATCCGCGTGGAACAAAGGATCACGGAACAATAGTAAACAAAGAGAAACTAAAATTAATACTATTGGAGCAAAAACACAAGAAAAACCCCATGTTGCTTTTACTAAATGGGAAGTCGATTCGGGTGAACACCAGGGCTGAACAATGGTTATGTTTTTCTGATAGTCTTTCTTCGGCGCGGGCGCGAGCTGGTCACGTTTTCCCAGACATGTCACACACTCATGCAGCACCAATGTGGAGCGGAGGGAGGGAGGAATGAAACATAGGGAGGGGTAGCTACCGGGGATGAAGTCACTTCCAGTAAAGGTCCCTTTTTCATAAATGCCGGATCCTGCCGGACGTATGTCTCAGTCCGTACGCTTTAAAACTAGTATTCAGACCAAAAGAAACATAAAAAAATCAGAAATGCCGACAATTTATTGAATTTTTCTTTTACCAGTTCCTGTGGACGGACAGTTTTCTTCAGGAAAGTCGAAAAGTCATACTGGTCTGTGAAAACACCGTGACTTTCTTTGCTCGCAGAGTGCATGTCCCTTTAATAGAGAAACGAAGAAGAAAGTGATAGGCGGCGTTGTTGCTAGATCAATAGGGTACCCGTGACCCTCCCCTCCCTTCTTTGATGGGGGAACCCTTCTGTTCCTTGTCCCGTGTCCGAAAACTGGGTACGAGTTCTTCACACTTTGTCCCAGACTCTCAGCGGATGCCTGACACAAACAAGCAACGAGTGCGAATGTTATCTGAACGGTTATTTTCAATCCATAAATTTCTTTTGGAATTACTGCGGAATAGAGTCACAACTTCCCAGAAACATTGCACTCCCGTCTCGATGCTTTTAAATTACGATATTGGAATGCCCTCAACGACCTCAAAGTGTTATGGAATTTGTGAAAGAATGTCAGTATTCCGTTTGAATGGAGATCACAGAGATTAGCACTCGTTCTGACAGCTCTGGCGCTCGAGCTTAAAAAAGAAGGCATTGGCGATACCGTCTGTCGCTGCATAGTTTTCTACCTTGGAGGCGAAAAGAAGGCGAGGCAGGTGTTTGGCGCTAAAAAAATGTAAGTTGGATTTTTCAAAGGGGCAATTGCTGGTTTGTACGTGATGGCGGCTATGTTGGTGGTCAGAAACAAAAACACTTCTCTCCTCTGGGAAGTAAACTCTATTTTCATGTCAATTCTTCGAGAAAAATTCTACTGTAGTGACCCGCAACATGGCCGCCTTGTCATATCATATCATGTGGTCGCAAACCAAGAATTTTGCATTCAATACACGTCTCCCCCCCTGTCCCCCCCCACCACCCCCGTTTGAGGTAGTTATAAAAACTGAGGATTTCCTTAGAGTAAAAATTCTTCAGAGACCATAGAAACCCTATTCTTCAGGGGTGAGTGCATTTTTTGTTATCTTCAGGGGTAAGAAGTAAAGACAAATCCTCAACCGTGGGGGTGGGATATGGATATTATATGCAATAAACTGGTATTTAGAATTTACCATAACTGGCCATTTATGAATTGGCATATTCCATGAAAACTTTTAGGTATGACCATACATACAATCATCATTTTTTTGTCTGTTACAGTATCTTGGGCAAGTTTTCCACTCAGCCCCATACATTTGTTTTGCATACATGTTTGGAATCTATTTGTGTATTTTAAACTGTTTGTGTCAAATAGAGACTGCTGCATGGAAAAATAATAAAAACCTGTTAAAAAACCGTTGTCAATTTGCCAATCAACCTCATTCCCAGTGTTCTCTCCTACCCGTCCCTACAGAGCGAGAGAGAGAGACCCTGGTTGGGTCTGGTCTCGTGGCTCCAGAACAAAATTAATTCTGAGAGAGAAGTCCTGTGTCTCTCAATTTTGTGTCTTGTTCACCACACAATGATCGCAAGGGTCTGCAAGAGCAAGATAGATTTGCTAACCCTACAACTATAACTGAATCCATGGGAAATTTTTGCCAAAAGCTCACGTTGTCCTAGTTTAACTGACGACACCAATTGCTAATAAAGATCTACGATCTTGAGTTCTACACAATCCAGTACTCGAAACTAACGGTTGTTCACTCGTCTAAAACGAGTAAATTTTTGAGTTAGTCGTTCTCATGGACAAGTGGCAGTTTTAGCCTCTGGATCTTGGTTTCACATTTGTTAAATCTATTGTAAAATTGTTCTTTCAATCACGTTGTTTACGCTCATAATTTCCGCATTACAATCGCCATCTTAAAAAACAGTGAGGGAATAGGCCGGGTTTGGTTGTCAGTCCACTCCGCTGCAAATTGTGTAAATGTCACGCAACTCCGAAAAACATCGTGAAAATGGTGGGCTCTTGCGCTGGGACTTTGTTACGCTATTTCAAAAGGGGCAGGGAAGATGAAGAAAACGCTAATAGAGGAGATTCCCAATCAACAGGAGTGAAAAAGGCAAAGAAGGATAGAGACTTCAAACCAGCTGGGAAAAAGGATTTTGTGTCTTTGGTTTACAATGAAGCTGAAGGGGAAAATGTTTTGCCAGTATTGTGTAAATTTTCCAAACGGTAAAAACGAAAATTCGTGTTTCCGCGAAGGGAGGAATAAATATTTTCTAAAAGCCATAGAAACTCAAGATAAACGACATATTATACTTTTCATTAGTGTTTATTATTATAATTTAAAAAAGTGACTCATGCATTACTATGTTTTTTAATGTGTTAATTACATGTTTGCGGCCAGACGATGGATGGCAGACAGGACTAGTAGAACTGCCTTCAGGACTAGTAGATGCTACCCACTACTAGTCCCAGGACAACTGACCAAAAAAGTTTGTTTCGAGCACTGCAATCGTGTTGATATTAAAGGGAAAATCACTCTACGTTAAACTTTCATTGAAAGTGTCAATGTTTGCCTGACATGGCTGCTAGTAATCGGGCTGGATCAGTATACTGCAAAACCTACACCATTAGCGGTCTTTGCGCTAGCTATGGGAGTAGGGAATTCATATCAAGATAATATTTTATTGCAGTATAAACAGAGACAAAACAGACAACATAACCTTCCAAGCGAAAGGCTTTCTTGTACATGGTCCATATGAAAACTTTATTTCAAAACATATGCAGCCCAGTGATGTCTTAAAATCCTCTAAACCTAAGCATTCCTAACCCTCCAGAAAAATAAAAAAAAAGGAATAATAAAAAGTTGGTGGTCCTGTAAGCCATATTTTTAACAAAGATGCTTCCGGCCATTCGGTTGCTGTATTCGGTTGATTTGAAACGACGACGAAAAAAACTGAAGCGCACAGAGCCATAGATAAAAATATAAATTGAAATACTCTTTCAAGATTCTGTTTACCTCCTTTCATTTGAACAATCAAACTGTTTCCGGGCGGCGTATTTTCCCTTCCTGTTGCTTTGATGATGATCTATTTTTTAATTCATTTTTGAGGTCGGTGAGGACAGCGATGTTTGATCTTTTCGGTGCCCTTTCGAACTATATAATCCTAGTCTTGAAAATCGGTATGAATATTACTGTGTAAATTATTTTTGACTACTGTCAAGCGGTGAATCCGCGATGTCCTCTGCATGTGTCAACATTTGGAGAGGAAAGCATTCCCGTAAGATCCAGATATTCTGAAGTTCGTTACGCTTTCGCAGTTAAAGGATTTTTTGCATTATTTTTGGTGTTCGAGGTCTTTTCTTAACTAGTCATGACCTTTAAGCCAAGGTCAGGCACACAGTTTCTTGGCTGCACTTTCCATCTACCCTCTGCAGAGACAAATCTCACACTTATCTGCCCCTCCCCCAAATCGTTTGTTTGTAATTCGGCCCAGATTCTGAGAGACACATGACCAGACCCAACCAGGGTCTCTCGACGGGTAGGAGAGAGAACCTTGGAATGAGGTTGTTTACCAATCAGGTTAAGAGGAAATTTGAATTTCCAGTGACTCCATTGGAAGCTCAGAGCAAGGATTTTGGCACTGCTTCTCAGATGTTACACAGGTCAATTAGCACATTGTGCCCCTAAGTTCCATCCATGGCCTAGCAAAGATTTGCAATTCTCATCTTTTTTTTGGTTTTGCAGTGGTCCTTGTTCAATTCATTTTCACTGATGGCTGAGTAAAAGTTTGAAATTCTCATAATTTTTGTTGTTTTCACAAGACTCTACCCGAATTTTGTGACTTTTTAAAATTTCACGTGAGTGTGTTTTAACCCCATGGGCATAACAATTTGTTTTTAAAAAATTAGTCCATCAGTTTGTTATGTGGATTGAGTTACCATACTGTTGTTACACAATCAATGATATTTTTTCCCAAGGTTATGGTCAACAAACATGTTGTGGAAATCAAAAGAGGAATAGGCAACAAAATGAAATGGTGAGAAATTCAGATTAAAGTTGAAATGTAAGTAACTTTAACACATCTGAAATTACAATAACACTTCCTTCCCTTGGATGTGCTTCAAGATTTTTTTTTTTTGGCCTTTGAATGAAGTCACAATAAAATTAGGGACATCGCAAAGCTTGATATGCAAAGTTCAGTTATTGCATGGCCCTCTGAGAAGGAGTTTTCAAGTTTTTTTTTTTTCTGAGGTCTGACCTCAAATTCTTTGTTTCAACTCCTTTCCTTTCTGTGTAGCTTTCAATAGCTCTAAATGCCTGTTAATTTAATCCAGTCATGGCTGTCAGCAAACAAATTAACTTTAAAAATGTTAAGAAGACTAAATACATGCTTATAGGGAGCCAATTTAAGTTATCCCAAATAAATAGTGACTTCACAGTCAAAGTCAATAATACACCCTTACAAAGAGTAATTAAACATAAATCCCTTGGAGTTCAAATTGATGAATCTTTGAACTGGCGCCCACACATTCATACCATTTCATAGAAAATATCCGCTGGTATTGCTATCTTAAGGCGTGTAACTCATTTTATACCATTTGATACTAGAGTGAATATGTACAATGCACTGGTAATGCCATATTTTAATTACTGTGGTGCCATATGGGGTAATATCAATAAGGGACTAGCAGACAAACTTCAAAAGCTGCAGAATAGGGCTGCTAGAATTCTCACCTTTTCAAACTATGACGTTCGCTCAAGTGTTTTGTTGGATGAGCTTGGCTGGGAAAGGCTAGAATATGTAAGACTTAAACAGTTGGCTGTGACAATGTATAAAATCCATAATAATCTTTCCCCATCGTATCTGAGGCAGATCTTTACCAACACCTCAAATGTACATTCACACAATCTTAGAAATTCTGAGTTAAATTATTATGTCCCCAGACCCAGAACTGAGTCTGCAAAAGGGAGCCTACACTACAGAGGATCTGTTCTGTGGAACAATACTAGTATAAATGTTTTTAAAACTTCAATTCTTGGGAAAGATTTTTCTAATACACCATGACCCATTGTAACTCTAGCCTGTGAACAGGCTCTCTGTCTGGGGAAAAAACATTTGGGTATTTATCCCGCATTTATAGCAATAAAAGAGGGCGGTAGGCCTACACGGCGTTTACCTCACGCCAAAATGCTGCCTGTTCCCATAAGTTTTTTCCTCTGCTCGGTAGATTATGCTCTGGAAGGTTCTACATTTTCACTGAGCAAATATGGTTTTAGCCGCTGGTTTCACACTGAGAGGTCATGGCATAAATATCGATTTACTGTGGTTTTTGTCTCTGGTCGGCAGGATTTGCCCTCTCTGATGCAAGAGCATTTTCTTTGACCTCTTTTGAAGCGTAAAGCTTTTTATTGCGGCTGAATAAGGGTCGTACTTTTCTCCAAAGTGCCCTCTGGATCTGAATAACTAAACGATTTTCTTTGGTCCGTAAATGTAATGTTTTTCTGAAATGTTGTATCACGCTGGGCCCAGGTCGTTAGTTTCTTTGCAGAATGTTTAAAATGATCACGGAGAGTAATTTACAGATCCAAAGTTATAAGATTCAAGTGCAGCTTAAACCGAAGCTACATCAACTATGGAGAATTGCATTTTGACTCGGTAAACTCCAGCCTAGTGTTTTTCTATCCATTAGATAGTGTGAGTCTTTTGACCGGAGCGCGTAGTTCCTCCCTGGGTAATAGCTTTTGAACAACAGTCTTTGGAGTGTTTTGTTATTTCCAAACGCGTGTTACGTGCCGACCGAAAAGCCGATGTCAATCAGACCTTTGAACAGTCAGTGTTCTCGCCAATAAGAACTTGCATCAGGATCTGATGCACAGCGGGTGCCGTGGAACGGCGGTCCCAAAGGCTTGTCCACAGGCCTTTTCGCTTTTCCCTCTCCCTAATTCCCTGCTCGATCAAAGGCCTGTTCACAGGCTATTGTAACTCTTATTATTCATAATGTAAGTTTTTGTATTTTTAACATTATAGTCAATAGTTCCTTAGAGTATTTTAGTCTAGTTTTAAACACGATTCCTAGGAAGACCATGTAAAATGATACGATTTCGTGTATAAATAAAGATTGATGATGATGATGATGGTTAAAACTGCAGAGAGGAGGATGGGGGGGGGGATTTAAAATTTTATTTATTTATTTATTTATTTATTTATTTTGAACAATATTTATTCAGTGGTGCCCAGGTCAGCGAGGCCGGTTTGAATTGGGCCCTGATGAAAAGAAAAAAGCAACACAAAAAACAATAACAGATAAAAAACAATTTGAACAACTGAGTATAGTGAAAGTATTGGAGGCTCAATTTGTCTTGGATCTAAAGTGCCCTTTTAGGCCAAACCATAGTTAATTGAGTGGAATGGTTATGAAACCCGTCAGACTCCTTTGTTATATGTTTTTGTGGACCTGAAAGTGCACAACGTTCAAAAGAATTCCTATCATTTTGATTGTATTGACCAATAAAAACGTTGCATTAATTTATTCCGTAATAATTTGGCAACAGAAAACAAAGGATTGTGCGCTTTCACGGTACTTCCAACATAAACTGCAGCACTGTTGTTCTTATCATTGATGTTTGCCGCTTTTCATAACCAGTCTCCTCTAATAACTATGGCCAAACCCAAACTTATTTAAATCATGCTCGCTCCTCAGGGCCAGTGGAAGCGTGTTCCAGATCTTGGCTCCGCTGAACCTGAAGGAGCCCTAGAACTTACATGTAGTTGTCCGAGCAAGCGGCAGACGGAGCAAATCTCTATGGTGCGTGTTTTATGAATGGAAATCGCGCGCGTGGCTAAACTCATTATTATAAGTAAATATGCTGGCGCCAGGCCATGGACAGGGTTCTCAATAGATTTTTAAGTAGGAGGTGATCACTGATAAAGTAGGAGGCTCTTCAGCAAAGCCAGAGGTGTCAAAACAAAGCAAAGAAAAGCGACCTAAACACAAAGTAAGCGGCTATAAATCCCAAAGTAAGCGGCGATCAATCGCCGGGTGCCGCCTTCTACTGAGAACCCTGCATGGAGGCCCTTAAACACTAGCATGCACTTTAGATAGTCCCGGCGGGACTGGAGCGTAGGTCAACCGAAACTGTAAGATATCAGCGATTGTGAGACTGCGTAGCCTTCAATAATACTGGCGGCACGCCTATGCAGCTTATCTAAGTACTCTCGGTCAGCCTTACTGCAAGAGTCCCATACGACAGCGCAACAGTCGAATACTGGAAGTATCATGGCGTTATAAAGTCAGCGTGCAAAGAAAGTCGTGTCCGTTTGCTCGGGGCTAGTGGATTTTGCTATCGGGCTAGTCGTTTTTGTTCTTAACTTGCCCGATGGGCAAGTGCTGTTTTTTTTGGGAAATTCAAATTACAGAAGGATTGTAATCAATCCTGCTAATCAAAAGGGGTTTGGGCTAGTTGAAATGACTTGTGGGCTAGTACATACTAGCTACAGCTTGTCCGAATGGCAGGCTGTAAAACTGGCTTTCTTTGCAGCGTGTAAAGTGTTAAAATGAGTGCACTGTCAGCCACAGGTTTGTCAGTCTTAATTGAGTACTGTTAGAATTTACCAACATCAAATAAAGACCTCTATTCCTTTATACTGTTCCCTATTATACCCTTTTTGGTGGGCTTGCATATGTACGAGGTCAATTACCATCTCTACAGGCTCAAACACCAAGAATAAGCACTCTGATGAACGTTTCGGTAAAAGTAAAAACAAAACAGCAACAACAAAAGAAAACAAAAATTCAATCAGATCCTCACACAATAAAATTATTTTATTTTTGATTTAAGCAATTGGTACAGTAAAAGAAAAGACATGACACTTTTTAATACTAAACAACAATTTGACTATAACTCATACATGTTTACATGTGTTTACATGTGATTTAGGACCACAGACAGATTAATTCACACTTTCAAGTAAACCTCGTGTTCCTGCTTAACATGTTCTTGATTTAATATAATAGGGGAATACTATAATATAACTCTTGTTAGGTTTTTGTATCATTTCTTCAGGTACTCGAGGCGGTGCACAAAGTCTAACGCCTCCTAAAAAACAATAACAAACTTGATCGATTACTATAACAACATAATATTAGTACAATATGACTCTTTTTGCTGTTTGCGTCATTCCTTCTGTTACTGGGTAGCACAAAAGTTCAAATGCCTCACAAAAAAAGGAAAAAACTAAGAACAAAGCAAAAGCTTATTTAAAATAAAACGAATTACGAAAAATACAGCGTTGGACTGAAACATTAAAGAAAGCGAGGGAGTTACACTCACTGACCTCTTGTACAAAGAATTACTAAGAGGTTGAGCCCCTTCTATGGGAGCTACAGTTGTGTAAACTGCACAGCTAAATAGCAAACTAAGCTAACTCAACTCGAGAAGACTAAAATGATGTAACTTGTTCTTTGTATTTACACGCAAGTAAACAAGGAAGTTATTAATAATATGAATAATTTGTCAAAGCTCTCGAACCGCCATAGCGACCTCCCGTCAAAAATCCTGCTGCAGTTGAAGCAACAAAGGAGAATATGCGAACAACGGCTGACTTGGCTCCATCCCAAGCATAGCGCAGAAAGGGCTTGCGTACACAGCGGCCATAAATCTCGCGATCGGCGTCTTCACAGAAATCATACTCCCAATCTCCGTTTCCAGAAATGATCACAAACTCCCTTCCGGGTCGTCTAAGAATGAAGGCACAATTTCTCATGTTGGCGCCATCGTCTCTAGCATCAGGGATGAATGAGTTGGCTTGGTTGTCTATTTCCTAATACCAAAATGCTTGCGAAGCAGAAGATAAGAGCGTTCAGACTGAAGAAGTGACTAGACGTTATTCAAATTAGTACTAGTTCTTTTTGATGGCCGACTTGGCATCAAGTAGTTGTGTTTTCAGTTCATAGGGTGAAAACAATATCAGGAGCACCCAACGAGAATATAGTTTAAAACCATTTAAACATAGCATCGTTAAGCGTATTTTAGTAAAAACGGTAGATATAGGCATATTTTTATACCCTAAAATTTTTCATCTGTTCGGATTTCCTAGCTGAAAGTCTAGTGATCCGAAAATTATAGGGATCAAAACTTACCTTTTCGAAAATTTCAGCCAGAAAAAAGGGCTCCCGTAAATTCTAGGTGACCTTTTTAGGGTAAAAAAAATCCGTTTAAAATGGGCAATTATACCATTTTTTTGATGTTTGAAAGTCCTAGGAGGGGTAGGCAAGCAAGAAATTTTACAACAAATGTTCCGAAAATTCTAGATCTCAAATCGTCTTCCGAACAGATATTTTCCAAAAATTGACGTGGGTGCCCCTGACAATATGGATCCTCTGTGTTAGATCTATAAACTGGCCGACTGCTCTTACCTGAACTTGTCTTCCCCTTCCCAAAAATCCTGAGGAAGTTGTAGTTTTTCGTTTTGAGTGTCCCTTACTCTCTCCCGATCCCATTCTTGGATACTCAGCAACAAGGGTATGTTAGTCACTCCTCTGCGGCCTTCTGTTGAATGCGCTGTTTGGATCGATTTGCATCAAATACAAACACACAGTCTGTTTCCAAACAAACACTGAAGTTTTTCCCTAAGTTTCTAATCATAACTATAACAAAAGTCTCAAATCTGATTGGCTATCAACTGCCCTGATTTCAGTGTACGTGCCATGCCTAAAAAATTCGACAGTACGCGCCATCAGGCGCGCCCTTAAATGGAAGTTGTCCTCTTTTAATCAGATCACAACTACAACAAAATTCTCAAATCTGATTGGCTATCAACTGCCCTGATTTCAGCGTACGTGTCATGCCTAAAGCGCGCCATCACGCGCGCGCTTAATTAAATGGAATTTCTCCTGTTTTGATTTTAAAAAAAGAGCCTTATATATCACAAATTTTGTTCAAGTTATGATTAACTGGCAACAGAACTTCGTGTCGTCTAATTCGGTCTGCAGTCATACTTGTGATTAAACAAATCCGACTCCTGCATCACTCGTATGATTACAGACCGAATTGGACTCCACTCAGTCCTCTTACCTTAACAAATTAAACTCTCTGATTTATATACCCTACCCCAGAGTAAACTGCTTGACAACCATACCCTTCACAGCGGCACATACCTGTATAGCCCATATATGGCAGTACCCCCGGGGGGTTTTCGATTTGAATATTTGATTTCGGGCCCGTAAAGTTACCGGGACTTTCGAGAAACGGGCCCCTGGGCGCTTATTAAATTTTTGGACCTTGAGAGTGGGCGCTTATTAAAGTTTCACCATTTTGAGCAAGTGAAGTATGTTTATTTTGCAACAAAACAATAAATGCTAATAACAAAACGCGAAGAAGTAACAAAGCAAGGTTTCTGTAAAATACTCTGAACACCGTCCTCGGGAAAGTCTCTTATTAGAATTTATTCACTCAAGTGGGTGGGGTGGGCGTGGGGGTGAGCGCTTTTCTGAGTTTGATTGGCAGGAGGATGGGGTGGGCGCTTATTCGAGGCTGGGTGCGTAGTAACTTTTTCTGCCTTTAGGATGGGTGCTTATTCGAGGTGGGCGCTTATTCGAAGTTGGGCGCTTATTTGAATAAATACGTTAAGCACATGACGACAATTCCTCCATGAAAATAATGTGTACCTAGGAAGTTTGACGTTTTAGTCGTACAAAACAGCGTTGTAGTAGTGCAAAACAACGGCAAGGGAAAGACAAAAAAGCGTGCTGCACGTGCAAATTTGTTTCTTGCTAATTAGAAGAAAAAGTGTGCTGCACATGCAATTTATTTTTTTGCTAATTAGATCTATTAGTCTTGAAGCCATTTTCATTGTCATGCCCGTTTAGCATTACACAATTTAATCTTTTTTGTTTACGTGTATTATTAACCAGAGCTTTGCTTTTAGCCCTGGCTAAATCTATATATTATAAGGGTAGGGATTTTACTTGTTGAGGTACATATAATAGGGAAGGGAAATCTGTCATTACGGTCGGTAAAAAGGTCCTAAATTAAAGGGCTAACCAGTGGCGGATCCCCCCACCTCCCCCACTTATTTTTAGACCAAACTGAGGCCCGAGGGGCCGAAAAACATTTTCTGGAGACCGTCCCCCCCCCCACCTCTTATGTGTTTGAAAGGGATAACATTTGCCAATAGAAGGTATACGAAAAGGGTACCTTTCCTGAAAGATGATTTTTAAACGCCGATAGGTGCCACCAGTTAAATAATTATTAACAACTGAAGCAGTTTAACAACGAAATGAAAGGATGTTTTTAAAAACCACCTTGATAAGCTTCACTTAATTGACTGACTATAAATCAAACACTTGATAGCTCTTCATACGAATGTCTTGGCGTATATATTTTTTTTTGCTTTTTCGTGTCCGCCCAAATCTCAGAAGAAACTACAAAAGCTTGCAGCAAGCATTCTCACTCTTATTTTTATTTTGAGTCACGGTAGATCGTAAGCAAGCGTAAAGAACGAGGGCGAGAGCAAGTTCCTTTTTACCATTTATTTGCATATTTTGTTCTTTACCGCCGCAGCACATGGCTTTGAGGAAAGACGGATGATCGCTTGCGGTCTACATCACTCTTGAAAATAAAAGAGAGTACATTAAACTGAGGGATCATACCTTTTTAAAATAATTTGACGGTGATCAGCACAGATTGAGGCACCAACTGAATGCAGGCATGTATAATTAACTTAATTTATTCCCAGCGCTTAATATATTCAACGAAAGAATATTCGTTTACAATTTTAGTTGACTTATAGTTAATTAAATGTTAAGAATTCATTCGATGCTGAAAGGCTTCAGCTCTTTCGGAAGTCTTACCTCACGTTCTCAAAGGAGGAACTGCTCAGAGCAACAAGGAAGTAAATATAATCCAATGGTGAAAAATGTCATGCGGTTCGTTTTATCCGACGGGCGAGGGGGGTTCTCAAAAAAGTTAACAGGGAGGCTTCGCCCCGGTTTCTAACCCCTTACCCTTTTATATACCTATACCATTGTTGACACAGAAAAGGTACCACTTTTGTATACCTCATATTGAAAAATGGTATCCCTTTCACATACCTACTCTAGAACTTTGCATCCCTTTCAACTGCTGTAAATGCACTGTTTTTACAATGTGAATAAATCTCAAAACCAGAGCGTTTTCTTGACTTTCTCACAGCCATAAACGCATCTGTTAGCCATTTTTGAGTCTTTTTTCCGACCGAAATGACAGATTTCCTGCCCTTTTATCTACTTGAACAAGTGAAATCCCTGCCCTTTCAGAACCCTGAAGCCTGAAAAAGGTGCCCCTTCCGGGCGGAGCCTCCCCTCCCAAGCCATTGTAGAGAGTACCCCCCCGTGGTTTGTACTTGGAAAATTGCCCTCAAATGCAAAGTAAAACAAAACAAAAACGGTAAATTTACTTCCAGCTATAAGGCTAGCCCAATCGATTTTGAAACGGAAATTTCCCACCGTAGATAAGCCCCTCCAAAAGGGCCTTTGAAAAATATAAGCTCCGGGGCTTATTTTCGGGATTTTACGATATATACTATATATACTGTCAGAGTTTGAATTAAAGGGAATAACATTTGCAGTATAAAGTACATGTCAGGCTTATGGATCGGGAGGGAAAGGAGGGGGGCAGAAGGGGTGGTAAAAGTTCCAGTAGAGCCGTAACTCCAAATTTTTATGCTCTCTTGACGTCACGAAAACTATAACTAGCGGCAGTCTTGTATGTTAAAATTTGGAACTGCTACTTAATCTAAACACTTCACATGTTTTGCCAGGTATTGTCTTTTTTGTCACTATTTGAGATTTAAGTGTTTGGTTCAGTTTCATGCCCAGTTTCAAGCTCGTTATTTGTTTCATGTTTTTGCATCCATTTTGGCCACTGTGTAATGAAATTTTGTTGTTCTCGGTTGAAATGAGTGCACTGACTCAGCCTCAGGTTTGTCAGTCTTGACTGAGTACTCTTAGAATTTACCAACATCCAATAAAGACCTCTATTCCTTTATAGTGTTCCCTATTATACCCTTTTAGATGGGCTTGCATATATAGTAGGACAATTACCATCTCCACAGGCTCAAAGGCCAAGAACAAGTCCTTGGATAAACGTTTCGGCAAAAGTAAAAACAAAACAGCAACAACAACAACAACAAAAAAACAAACAAAAATTTGACCAGATCCTCACACAATAAAATGATTTTATTTCTGCCGTAAAAAAAGATATGACACATTTCAATGCTAATGCAACAATTTGAATTGATTGTAGCTCATACGTCTGTACATGGAATACGACCACAGATTCATTCTCACATGCACTTTTGAGTAAACCTAGTGTTCCTGCCTAACTTTTTCTTGATTAATATAAAGGGGGAATACTATAATATAACTCTTGTTAGTGTTTGCATCATTGTTTCAGGCACTGGGCAGAGCAAAAGGTCTAAAACCTCAAAAAAAAAAACAACAACAGACACACACACACAGGCATAACCAAGCAAAAGCTTATTATTTTAATAACAGAATTACGAGTAATATAGTACAAGATTCAATTCAATTTCAATTCAATTCAGTTTTATTATTCACACTTTATAACATATTTACATTATATATAGTAGGGTAGGAATACACTAATAAAGGAGAAGAAGAAGGAAAAAAAAAAGAAAATTAATGGCTTGGGTAGAAGTGTACGGTGGTCAGAGGAGCTTCTTAACTTCTTCACTGACTTCTTGCACACAGAATTACTAAGAGGTTGAACCCTTTTGGGAGCCATAGTGCTTTTAGCTCCACAGCTTTAATAGCAAAGCTAACGCAATTCGAGAAGACTAAGTTGATTTATCTTGTGCCTTGTATTTGTACGCTAGTAAACAAGTACGTTATGGGTCAGGAACCCAGTCGTAAACAGAAGCAAAAGCAAATATTTACATCAAATCCTAATTAAAAGAGATATAGGTAGTTGTAACAATAAATGCCCAATCCCCCCATGTAAGGAAATTCGGATTCCAGAATCCGGGAAATTTTTGCTTTTGGAATCCGGAATCCTGGGCTCCGGAATCCAGAATACAGCTCAAGGAATCCGGATCTCACTTACGATTGGAATCCAGGATCAAAGTTCTACTGACAAAGAATCTAGAATCCAGTACCTGGAATCCTGAATCCAAGACTGCTTGGATTCCCTTACACGGGGCGACCCAAAATTGTTTTTAAATTGCAAATAATTAGTGCTGAAAAAATTCGAGATAATAAAAAACCACGCACAGGAAAAGCCTATGACATAGCAGTTCTGCACGTAACTAAAAGATGAGTGGAATGTACAAGACAAAAATACGTGATATAGATAGTTGAACCAGGAAGTTGACTAAATCGTATTAGAAGACCTTTCGAAAGTTTCGAGATAAAAAGTTAAAGTTGACCTGCTCATGTCATACAAAAATGACAACAACAATAGTTTATTTAACCACGTTATCGTCTAAGAGCACAAGTGCTCTTTCAAAAAACGAACGTGCATTAAATCTACAATTACAATAGTAATATCTAATATACATATATATATATAAATTAAATGTATAATCTAAATCTATGTACACGTGAATATAAAAAATTATAAAAATTACAAAAATATATTAAAATATAAAGATTACAGCTGAATTGATCTTAGCCTAGACTTAAAAATATTAACATTAACGGCCAGCTTAACATCTTCTGGACGTTTTTTCCACAGTTAAGCGCACTTGTAAGTAAGAGTTCCTCATAAAATTAAGATTAAATTTGGGCACGCAGAGATTAACACCATTTGCTCTTAAATTGTAAGACGTTTCTCTTATGCTAAAAAAGTCTCTAATGTATTTCGGCCTTATGTTCCTAATGCATTTAAATAATAGGATCAGAGATTGCTGCTTTTTCGTACACTCTAAAATGTCCAACTTACATATATTTAAGAGTTCTTGGTAAGACAATGATTTCCCGTGCCCTGTCAGTGTTCTTAATATATAATGATTGGCGTCTTTAATTGCACAATAAGCCAAAAGAAAAAGTAAACTATTGGTCCCAGATGTTCAAAAGTTGGATTACGCTATCAAGTGGATAAATCCCTATCCAACGGATTAACCGCCGCCGCCTGGTTAGCTCAGTTGGGAGAGCGCCGGTCTGCTAAGCGGGAGGTCGCGGGTTCAAACCCCGGCCGGACCAACACTCAGGGTCTTTAAATAACCGAGAAGGAGGTGCTGCCTTTGAAATGACATCTGCAAATGGTTAGACTCTCTAGTCTTCTCGGATAAGGACGAAAACCCGTATGTTGTTGTGGGACGTAAAAGAATCCACATTACTATTCGAAAAGAGTAGGGGTCGTAGGCCCCGGTGGTGTGGCCAACCTTACGCGTTGTGGGATTGGGTAGGGATGGCACCTCGCATGGGAGCTAAGTCCCGTTCGTGCACATTCCCTCTGGGCAGGCCTGTGTCCAGAAAAGCCGGTAAATAAATAAATAATTAGCATAAGGGAATCCAATTTCATTATGTAGTGGATAGAGATTAGTGTATTTATTCAGTGGATAGCGTTTTGCACCTTTTGAAAAACTGAGGTCTGTTGTCTGCATAAGAAAAAGTATAACCAAATGATGTTAAAATCCTCAACAGAAAGGCGTAAAGTGACAACGTTACGCTTGTCACTTCTTTCTTAATAATATGTCAAAGCCCTCAAACCAGTTGAAAATAAGCGAACGACCACTGACCTGGCTGCATCCCAAACATAGCGCAGAAAGGGCTTGCGTGTACAGCGACCATAAATCTCGCCATCGGCTCCTTCGCAAAAATCATACTCCCAATCTCCGTCCCCAGAAATGATGACAAACTCACTTCCGGGTTGTCTAAGAATGAAGGCACAATTTCTCATGTTGGCGCCATCGTGTCTAGCATCAGGGATGAATGAGTTGGCTGCTCTCAGAAATCTCAATGTCATCCGATCCACATCATTCAGATACAGATGCCGCCCTTCGTTTCCGCATCGTTTTCTGATTTGTTTCCCTATAACTAGACCAGTGATCTCATTTACCTCAATTGTAATATTGTAAAACTGCAAACAGAGGAATCAAAATACGAGTATTATTAATGACAATTAGCAAGGTTGGATTCGTTTTCCCGGGGAGTTTCTTCCTACAGTGGCATTTACGGGCAGGTTCACACCCGAAAGGAGTATCTTTTTCAGGCTTCAGGTATATGAAAGGGTAGGGTTTTCACTAGTTGAAGTATGTGAAAGGGTAGGAAAATCTGTTTTCGGTCTGTAAAATGATCAAAGTGATCAAAATGGGCTACAGAAGGATTTTATGCGAGACAATTTTCTAGTTTTGTGATTTTTTAAATTAATATTTAAAGGAAAAGTGAATTTACAGCAATTAAAAGGGATGCAAAGTTCTAAACTAGGAATGAAAAGGGGGTACCAGTTGCCAACGAAACGTATGTACAGTAAAACCTCCATTAAGTGGACCCCCAATTAAGCGGACATCCTTTATTAAGTGGGAACTAAGCCGGGTCCCGAAATTAACGTCTTCTATTTCCCTTTCTAAAGAACCCCTATTCAGCGGACACCTCTATTAAGTGGACGTGGACGCTAAAGCTAATTGAATTTGGCTAATTCCTGTTATTTAAAAACTTCCATTTTAAAAAGCGGACATTGGACTCAATTGACACTAGTAGTATTAGATTACGTCCTTGAAATACGTACTGTAGTCGATTAATAAAGATAAATCAATACATCAGGGGCACCCAACGAGAATATAGTTCAAAACCACTTAAACATAGCATTGTTAAACGTATTTTAGTATTTAAACGGTAGATATAGGCATATTTTTATCCCCTAAAAATTTTTCATCTGTTCGGATTTCTTAGCTGAAAGTCTAGCGATCCGAAAGTTATAGGATCAAAACTTACCCTTTCGAAAATTTCAGCCAGAAAAAAGGCTCCCGAAAATTTTAGGTGACCTTTTTAGGGTAAAAATCCGTTAAAAATGGGCAATTATACCATTTTGTAGATGTTCGAAAATCCTAGGGGGGCAAGCAAGAAGTTTTACAGCAAATGTTCCGAAAATTCTAGATCTCAGATCGTCTTCCGAACAGATATTCTCCGAAAATTGACGTTGGGTGCCCTTGAAACATTTAGCGCAGGAGTACCCAACAAGCCTTTTTCGAAAAATTAACCTGCGTGGCAGGCGCAAAAAGGGGAGGGAGAGGGGGAGGGAGAAGGGGAGGGAGAAAAGCACGAAAGAGGGGAAAGGGAAGGGAGCGCCTGCTATAAGAGCCGGTGTTTTTGTAATCCGCCCACCATTTTCTCAACTAATCCGATAATGTCACTGTCAATACGTGACCAATCACAAGTACGGGGTCTCTCAGCATGGTCCGAGCTTAATTATTACTTTGTTTACCGGAAATTGTCAAGTTGAGACGCTTTTTTCAAGTGATATCATAATCGAGCGAAATGAAACATTTTTACTGTTCTTGCTCCCGCAGCAAACCCACTCTCTCCCCCGCCCCTCTCCCTTTTTCCCTTTTTCCCTATCCCCTACCCCTTGCGACGCCTGCTACGCAGGCTACGAAAAATTGATTATACAATGTCGTAAACGCTATCTGAGGGGTTCGATCTATTCAACGGATTCGACGGATTTTCCCATGTCAAAAGTTGAAAAAAAGAAAACCGTGGAAACAATACTGAGGTCTATTTCCCTACCAAATAGCCTGCGAAGCTTAAGATAAGGGACTTCAGAGTGAAGTGACTAGACGTTTATATTCGAATTTGTACTAGTTCTTTTTAATGGCGAACTTCGGCATCAAGTGGAGGAGTTTTGGTTCACTGAGGTTGAAACAATATCTATCCTTGTTCCTCTGTGATAGTTCTATAAATTGCTCCACCACTGACTCCTACCTGAACTTGTCTTTCTCTTCCTAAAAATCCCCAGGAAGCTGTAGTTAATCGTTTTGAGTGTCCCTTACTTTCTCCCGATCCCATTCTTAGATAGTCAGCAACAAGGGTATGTCAGTCACTCCTCTGCGGCCTCCTGTTGAATGCGCTGTTTGGATCGATTTGCATCAAATACATACACTCAGTCTGTGTCCAAACAAGCAGTTTCTAATCATAACACTATAAAAAAATTCTCAAATCTGATTGGCTATCAACTGCCCTGATTTCAGCGTACGTGTCTTGCCTAAATAATTGGACAGTATACGCGCCATCAGGTGCGCCCTTAAATGGAATTTATCCTGTTTTGATCATAACTACAGCAAAATTCTCAATTCTGATTGGCTATCAACTGCCCTGATTTCAGCGTACGTGTCATGCCTAAAGCGCGCCATCACACGCTCGCTTAAATGGAATTTCTCCTGTTTTGATTTTAAAAAAAGAGCCTTATATATCACAGATTTGGTTAAAGTTATGATTAACTGGCAACAGAACTTCGTGTCGTCTAATTCGGTCTGTAATCGTACTTGTGATTAAACAAATCCGACTCCTGCATCACTCGTATGATTACAGACCGAATTGGACTCCACTCAGTCCTGTTACCTTTACAAATTAAACTCTCTGATTTATATACCCTACCCCAGAGTAAACTGCTTGAAAACCATACCCTTCACAGCGGCACATACCTGTATAGCCCATATATGGCAGTACTCCCGGGGTTTTCGTCTCGCGCCCTTCAAATTTTAATTAAGATTGCTTTCAGTTTCGAATCAGCAGCGTTTGAGTCTCAGATAAAACCACAGGGTCCAAAGGAGATGTGTTTGTCGTTGAAACCACAAAACCAGTCGAAAACCTCTAAAAAAAATGGGTTAATTTGATCGCGTTACGGTTTCGTTACACATTTAGCTAATTTGCACTAGTAGTTATTATCTGTTTCACGGACCGGTAAAGTAAAATCCCTCTTCATGGCTAATTCTGTGTTTTCACTCACGTGGCCAGCATCTATGCAAATTTATTGGAACAAAAGAAACCGTTTACATCAGAAAAGAGTTCAACTCCCACAGGACTGGTTTGGGAAACCAACATGGGCGCCGTTTCATTGTTTTGGGGCACAAATATGCCCGCCATGACGTCATGTGAAAACACACAATAGAAGCGGAGAAATTAACTAATGTCTATGATGTTCATCAAAATAGCCTACTCAATCCTTTACGTAACAAGGGTGATCAACATGAATTTTCTCTCAGCAATATCAGTACATCATCAAGAGAAAACCCTATGAGAATTAATAAAATGATCAGTGATGGGAAAATGCTTTTCTCGCAACATATTTTTGAAGGAAATGTATGGAAATCAGTCTGGTGAATTGTACGTGGATACTCATTACTGGAGCCTGAGGGGTTTAAAGAAACTTCTGGTAGGCGGGGTCTGGCGAATTTCCCCCGAGGATCCTCGAGTGCTACTGGCGAAGGAATAGGCCATTTGCACGATGGCGTCATTTTACTGCTACGACCACAATCCTTTTCATTTTTCCTTCCATATTTAAATTTTGTAATCCCAGCAATGTGCAAATAACAAAAGACCTAATTTGCACAAGAAAGCAAAACCCTGAAGGATTCTGGTCGTAGCAGTAGAA